CTTTTGGAACTTGAAAGAATCGTAGCTGATTTAATGTCTCAGTTTCTAGATGACAGGGAAGCCAGGAAACTTTTTTCAGAGATAAATACCCTGATCCATCAGTGGAATGAGAAATCAGATGCGTACTTTTCAGAGGGATATACGGCACCTCATGATCTGTAAGTTATACTTATCTTTCTGCAACTTGTCTTATAAGGTCCAGATCAACTTGAATATTTATTTTCACATTACATTTAATTAATATCTGATTTTTGTCTGTGTTGTGTTTTTATTTTTTATTCTCTAATTCAAAACCTCATATACAGTCAAATAATTGTGCTGATGCATACACTTTCTGAAAAATAAATTAAATCTCTGATTTAGAGTATAGCTACTTACAGGTTCAACAGAGGACCTGAGTACATGATCAGGACTCATAGGAATCAGCAGCTGTGTATAATTAAGCATTTTGAACTAGGATCTGAATTCTTGTTCTGCAAACAAAGTCTAATTCCCACAAATAGTTCCTGTGACTCAGTAATTCTTCTCATGAATGCATGCTATAGGATCAATCTACTCATGTACAGCAAGTCCAGTGCATCTGAAATCATTCAGATTTTTGTTGTAGGAGTTATACTTATGTTAGTTTGTGCAGGAGATCTTGGAACAGAAGCTTACTATGGAGAACAGAATTACAATGTAATCCTATGCATTATATATATATATAATGTAGTTTCCAGCCTTATCTAGGACACTCTGAGGCTAAGATTTCTTTTAATATTTTTGAACTTCTCTTAGAGTTTCAAGTTCCCTGTTTGGCTATCACTTAATGCAAATGTAAGCAGCTCATATGAAGATATGGCTATAAGTTCTGTACTTATTCAGCATGATTTGTTTTGTTGAAGCAGTCCAAATCTTGCTGTACAGCAGAGTTATTCTTCTAGCAGTTGGTCACTAATCTAGTAGAAAACTATTCTGTAGGAAGTTTGGAAATGCCTTCAATTCCCATTTCAGGACAAGTGCAACAACAAGCTTGTAAAGATTGACTGTGTTTTTAATTTCGGGTATTCTGATTCACAGCATATATTTTCAAATAAAATCAAGACAATTGTTCTGGGTGATTTATGCAAAATAAAGTGGTTTAAGAACTTTGTTTTCCTATCTATTTTTAAAAAAAAGGACTTGTTATAAAAACCTTCCAAAAAGAAGGTTTTACACAGGACTCAAAAGTTGTAGACTTAGGGGGTTAATGTTTGTCAGAGTTGGCAGAGCCTCATGAAAAATCTATGGCAGAGCACAGGAGCTGATGAAGACTTGCATTGCTTCTGACAGTTATAATGTTGACCTCAATTTGGCATTGCTTGTAATAGCTCTACTTGTTCATATAAAAAACTGTCCTCCATTGGAGAAGGTACAAATCAACATCTGAGCATAAATCTGAAAATATACGATCCATTATCTAATGTTAAGGGAGATACTGCAGTCAAAATATTCAATAATTTAGTAGTACATTTTAGAATCTGATTCTGTTTTGATAAAAGGAAACTGCTACACTGCTGCCGTTGTAAGAAACTACAAAGTAGATGTTATAGTGACTACACAACAATAACAACAAAAAATCCCATAATTTTTCAGCAAGTTTACCTTTTTGGTTTTAGTACACAATGTTTTTATGCTCTACCTCTTTTGATTGCAGAATCCTGCATCTGGAGAGAATGCAGTCTGTACTTCAGGATGTACCGCAGTGGCCTGTTACGAAGAGGTTGCTTCTGGTAGATGGAGCTATAAGGAACGTAATAGCACAGTATTTATACTTCACTGAAGGTAAAGGTGCATGGTGGTTACTCATTACTAGCACCCAAATGACTTCCACAAAATAACATGGGAAATGGATAACGTTCTACCTCTAGGAAGGCATCTGGGCTCTGTAATACATGTCACACTTAGATATTTACAGTAGATTTTGAATTCCTAAAAATTTTGTTTCCCTTCCTGATGACAGAACATAACATAATGCCTGTTTTCACTTCCTGTATCGGGAATAAAAAATTTCCTTAAGCATCTTATATGATGTTGTATGATACTGTGGCTGTTGTTTAAAGATCTAACTCAGGAAAGAGCCTGCTTAGCAAAAATTAAAATTATCAACTGCTGAGTAGTTTCTAACACCATCAGTCACCTATGTGTGAACAAGAAGTCTTGGGCTTAGATTTAGATGCAGCTTGACTTTTCTGGTTGGTCATTGCAAGTGAAGCAAAGCACTGAGTTGGACATAGGGATTTTCTGATGTCTTTAAGTAAGGATTTGACTGAGGTATTGAAGCACAGAGGCAGGGTGTTTCTTTATCTGGGGCCTATGCTTTTGGGCACAAATCTAGGCTGATGGTGAAGGAAGTGCAAGATGCCATTCCCGGAAGAGAGGGGACAGTATTGAAGAACTCAGGGCAAGTGGAAGTGTGTTTTACAAGAAGCTGGGGAACTGGATCTGTTTTCAGCAGTTTGACTGAATGAGATGAACTAGTTCTCATGAAGCTTTTGTAATATGTTTAAGTTCAGCAATTGTGACTTTCAGATTTGGAATACATTTATAGTATTGTACGGCCTGTTAGGACTCAGATTGTGTGATGCTCAGCACCACGATACCCAGGCGTTGATTGGCAACATAATCATACTATAAGGTCCACACAGATCTGGATTAAAAAAAAAAAGGAAAAGGGACAAGATACCTTTCTGTGAAACCTTTTAGTGGAGACCTGGAATACTATAATGTGGGTGTATATATAGAAAGAACATTTGTATTAGTTGTAATTAAGTATGTGAAAAACACTTTGGTCCTTTTGGGGACATTGATAGTCTTAAAATACTTGATATTTGCATATGACTTTACAGTAAAGAATAAACAATATAGTAAAAGTACAAATTTTGTCCAAGATGCTACTGAAATTGTGCAATTTTGTCCTTGATTTCTAGCTCAGATGTCTTCACATTACAACTAAAAACCTCTTGTTTGCAGATCACTGTTGGAAATTAACACACTCTGTCACAAGTTTTGTGTATTTTAGTACTGTGAATCATCAGTAGGAGAAAAGGTTGTGCAGGTCACATCACAGCATCAGTGATAACAGCGAAGCCCACTTTCCTTGGGTCATGTTGTATGACACATGCATGCTTATTGCCTTTCATGGCTTTATAGCTGATTAGGCTGGGAATTTAGCGAGCAGTTCTCTTGTTAATACAAAAAAAATCCAACATACCCTTTAGCTGTATCAGCTAACTAAACTAAACTATAAAATCTGTTTTAGCCTCTAAAAATGAACAAGGACTGCGGGCACAGCAGGGAGCAGATCTCATGAGAAAACAAATACTCTTTCAACATAATTTTCCAAAGGCTCACTTTAAGACATTTCATATTGAGTTTGCTGATTGTTTATCTTCTGGGTTGATAAGGTCTTTGGACCAAAAGGTGTAATTTTCTTGTGGGTCTTGTTTTATAGCACATGGTCCCATGGAATCAGTACTGTTAGTCGTATTACCCAATCCTGATTTACATGTACACCCAAACCTGCAAGACACCTCTGAAACTTTGGGATAGTTTCTGCAGTGTCCTTTTTAGGATGGTTTGATGTGAAGCATGCTACACAATTTTACCTATATACTGTGTATCAGTACACCTTCCTTCATGATGGTGGAGTTATACTGATTATAGTAGTATATAGTATATAGTAGATTATGTAGTTATATAGACTACAGCTGGACACCTGCCCTGTCAGCTTATGTGGTAAAATGCTCATCTCCATTCACACAAAAAGAGTATAAAGGAACAGTGGCAGGTGGGAGAACCCAAATGGTACCCTGTCCTGGATCCTGCAAGGCTGGATCATCTTACAGACTAAGGGGATTACTGCCGAGGGGTATGGGACTCATTACAGGAAGCAGGGAAAGAGCTTTTTGGGATTGCACAAGACTTAGTATGGGAGGTTTGGAAGAGGAACCAAAGGTGGGGAGAGGAAATGACCTAGGTGGTTTGTAGAGGAACAAGTATGGGAAAATAAAAATAAGGCGATGAAAGGGGCTGCTTGCATTTAAACGGGCTGCTTGATCAATATGCCTGCCTGGCCGTGCCCTGCACCTGGCCATTGCAGGCTGTCCTGCCTTTTCTCTAAACTCCATTTCTAGCTCTTTTCCTGGGTTAGGACTCTCTATTCTGTGTGCAAGTGTGCGCATGGGGGTCTGTGTGCAGCAACTGAGGTCAGGCCACGGGACATACAGGGGCCCATAGCAACAACTGGGAGGACTGGAGGGAGTGAAATGAAGTTCCAGCAAATGGGGTGGAACCTGTGTGTCCTTGGTGCCAGAAACTTAGAATGAGTGAGGGTGAGCATATTGGTGTGTGATTGCCAGTGAGTATCAGGCTGGGGTAGCTGAAGGGTGGGTGCAGTGGCCTGGGAGCTGGGAAGGTGTGCACTTCTCTGACAGTGAGGAGTCATCACTTATTGGAGGAACCAGGAGGTCCAGGCCAACACCAGAGAGACCATGGGGTCTCGGGGTTGACCGAGACACCTGTTTGTGTACCTCCGAAGTGCGAGGCAGCTGGGGAGAGCTGAGGGACTGGGACCAGCTGCTAGATGGACTGACTGTACAAGAGCAGCTATTGCAGGGACCTGCTCTGTGAGCAAACGCAGCTGTACCAGAAGCTGGGGCAGGGCTGCAGCCTTGAGGGCTCATATGCCCAGGTGCCAGCAACTGGGAAGGGAGACTGGGGTCCAGGGACAGCTGCTGGGCAGGCTGGGTGTCCAAGCCCAGCTGCTAGGGTGGATCCATACTGTGTGTGTGTGTATATATATATATCTGCACACTGTGTGTGTGTATGTATATATATCTTTTTGTTTTTCCCCTCTAACGGACCTTCATCCTGACCAACCAGGGAGGTGACAGGCTAAGGCCGTAGGTGCTGTTTGTGTGTGCGTGAGTGCCTTGTGTTGGTCTGCATTGATCTGGGTGGTCGGCCATGTGCATTTACTGTGTACGTGTTAGCTGGTGTGCCCACCTGGCCAGCCTTGCTGCTGGTTGGGCCTGGGGACATGGAGCTATGACAGCCTCACCTCTGCAGGGTGACTGGATTTGGCAGTTCCCTAACATGACCTGCTGACCTTTTCTGTAGCTGTCTTTTATTTGAGAAGGGAGAGATTAGTTTTTCTTGGGAGCTTAAAGAATTAGGCCACCTTTCCATATTTCAGAAGAATTTGCTGCTAAATCAATAGTTACCTATGGAAAGAGTCCAGGTTTATTTACAGCATTCATAGCTAGAAGCCCACACATGACCTCATTTTCCTTTCCTGAAGATCATGAAAGCTCACTGAAGTCTTTGGAGCTTCTCCGACGTAACTGTGAAAGGGGATAGAGTCATGCTTTTGCTGCTGTAAGAAGAGTGGCCTCCTCTTTCTGCCGTGTCTGGATGAGCCTTTTTCAGTGGTAGTGCAGGCGGGGAGCGGTCTTTGCTCCTCAGAAGTGCAGAGTGCAACCGTGTACGTATTTTGTGCAAAATGATGGAGCGCTTGGGCAGGGATGTCATCTAAACCAAAGTGGAGCCTTTATGCCTCTAACTTCTGTATTTTTAAACCATATTATGCGCAATTTTCTTTCCCAGAAGTATGCTTCCTTCTGTACAATCCCTGAATTACTCTGTAGGTTAACTATTTTCTTTATGGGGATGTGTGGGGGAAATGTCTTACAGAAGCTTTACTTAGCCTGGAAAAACTGATTCCCTTTGCCCAAAGAGATGGATTCATTCATCTAGACATCAGAAAGCTGTTTGTGGAGCTAAAAAAGGTATGTTATTATTTAATGTTTGTATATTTATTTGTGTAAAGCTGCAGAGGCTTATTTTGGGGGATAAAAAGTACTTGTTAAGTAGAGTATTTCACTTTTTTTCAGCAGCATTTTGGTACAACTTTACTTTGTACTTTTCTGTCTTTTGGCATTTCATTGTGAGAATTAATATGGATTGTGAATTAAATCTGTTCCTTTACCCTGAGTTCATTTTTAAGGTGACAGTATATTAATAAAATTTTAGATGTTGATGAGCAATGCTTCCTATATATGCCATGATGTGCTTAAAACATTTGAGAAGACCCTGAGACTTCCACAGGGCTCAGATGACATTGACATTTTAGCAATATACATGTGCTCTGGCAATGGCTCAGAGGTGACCTTCAAGCTAAGTAACCAGGTCCAGTCACTAAGGGAATCTGTAAGTATTTCTGAATTTTTTTCATGTTTAAAGTTTGCAATGCCTTACTTATATTACTATTACAAAATGAAATAAATTAGAAGGGGTTGTATCTTACTACCTAGAGTTTTCTATTAATAAAGTGGATGGGTAACTGATTATTTAAACTAATTAAAATGTGCTCGGGGATTAGGCACAAATGGTACTGTGGAGTCTCTTGAGTGGATGTGACATTTTAGACATGCTAAGTAGCGGTGGCTTCTAGGAAAAATTGAGAAGGTTTGAAAGACTACTAATTTAATCCATATTATGTTGGATTTCAATATCATCAATATTACAAATCTAAGAAGCAGGGCCAAAGTCTAAGGTGAGTTTCCCTTTTACTTGTTTCAAATTTTGTTTTCTTTACTGTGAAAGGTTTGGCTTCTGCAGAAGGTAACTCAGGGACAACAGAGCCTTCCAGATTCAATAATGGATGATTATTTGGGATGGCAAGAAATAGAAGAGCAGCTAACCAAAAATTATGCTTATTACTGTGAAATTAATCAATTGCTGAGCACAGAAACACCATCTGAGGAGGATGTCCATTTCAGCTCTTGTCAGGAACAGCTGCTCTTCTCACTGTATGTATCTTGTATACCTTTTAAAACATAAAGATCCTGAGTGATCCTCTACCAGCCTAGAGTAAGGTATTATGACCTTATAATACCTTTTTATTGTAAGGTAACTGAATAGATAAAAAGATTAAAACCCTGTTTTTTGCTTTTGATTACCACCCAGTATTAACAATTTTCTATAAGCACAAGCAGGAAGGTAGAGGATGATTTTTCTTTTTTTTAAATTATTATTAGTAGTAGTATTTGGGGGGATAGGGTTGGATATAGGATAGGCAGGGATCTAGGACTCTAAAAGCGTATTCTCGCTTTTTATATTCTTACATCCAAGCATTTTCTGCTACTTCTCAGCCTGCTTCCTGATACATTCCTCTCTGGTACTGTGCTGCTCAGGATGCTTGGAAACTTGGATATGAAAGACTCCTGGGATATGCAGGAAAACATTAAACAGAAGGTAGTTAAAGTGCAGTAGGAGAAGTATTGCAGCCTCAAGTTGCTTCCTGAACACATCAAGTGGTTACCCATCCTCTATTTTGGCAGAAAATCCATTTATCTTTTTATCAAGTTGGTTATCATTTGCAATGACTCAGTAATTCTACTGATTTCAAGTTTTAATGGTATTAAATCAGAGTATATTAGAGACAAATTCCTATATCAATAAAGTGCTTTAAAATAGGATAGGATTTTATTACTCTTTCTTGGCAATGTGAAGCATGAACATAATGCATTTAATGTGAAGTTACATGTATACTGGACAGATGTCCTAGATCAGAAATTTAAATGTGTAGAAGACCACTATCTACATTACTTATGCGTATGAGAAACTTGACAGAAGATTTTGCTATTAAAGCAGCAAAATTATTAGCTCTAAGCATTCAAGAATCAAGTCAAAAATTCCACAAGCCACATTGGCAGATGGTATTATATCCACAGATTATTAATAATATCTTAGACATTAAAAAATTTGTCATCTTTCCTGTCGTTTTTGCTGTTGGTCAATGGCTGATTGCCTTCCCTCCCTCCATGTTTCTAAATGACTATGAAATCATCACGTGGACTAGTCTTACATTTCCTTTTTTGAGCATGAAAAAACACCGAGTGTGCTAAACAGCCCCTGGGAATAGAGGCATGTGTTTAAGTAATATTGAAGAGCAAGAAAAGCTCAGCACTGTTTTTATGCAAGCTGTTTTGTTGTTGTTTCATTTGATTGTTTATTTTTTTTTCAGGGACAAAGCAATGATTTTTTAAAAAAACTTTTAATGCAAAGGTGTATTTGAGGACAAGATGAAGCATTACTCGATAATTGTTTTCAATTTCAAAATACTACTTTTTGAACCAGAGCATTTTGTCTGGGGTTTCTTGAAAGGCTTTTTAGATCCCCCTCACCCCGGCCCAAACCTGTGTAGTAAAGTTTAGCTTTGCTTAGAGTGATGTAATAGCTATGCCGCCGATTTCTTTAGCAAAGGGTCTGCTATTAGCCTGCCTTGCCTCAGTTTTCCCTAAGTCAATAGAACTGTCTGTACACATAAAGTAGCAATAGAATTTAGCTAGAGATTTGCAGAGAAACGACATGTGTTCGCAAGGTAATTTGACTTTGAAAGAAATCACTGGTTTAATCACGGTAACCTTGTTTTCTGTGTCATTTTAGAATTAATAATACACTTGAAGAAATTTTGTTTGCTTTTGAGGGAAACCCATACTGGAAGGATTTAACAACTTTTGTCAGTTGGATATGTCATGTAGCTCAATACATGGATGAGGAAGCAGGCTCCACGGGAGGTCAGTCAGGTGAGAGAGCAGAAAGCTACTGCACAGCACAGGCTTTCTGGTGGTTCCCTGTCTGTTTTAGAGTACAGCATTCCTCAGAAAGGGAAAAAGTGATGATTTTTAGATTTGTAAGCCTGTTTCAGTTTTCATCAAACTTAGATTTCACCAGCTGAGAGAATCATTAGCAAGGAAAACTTATACAGAGCCTGACTCTGGTAAATAGCTGTGATTTTATTGCCATCTGGAAAATTTTTGGATCATCCATTTCTATTGGGAAAACGCCAGCTGGTTGACCTGGTTGTCTCTACTTTTGCAACAGTATTCTGTCAGGAAGGCTTCTTAAGTCCAGGATATAAATGGGAGATCAGACTAGCTGGTCACCCAGTTGAGGCTTGTTTCATATCAGGCAAGGACTTCATGCTTGATTTCCTTCATTCCAGGTGTCCTGTGATATTCCAGATATCCTCATCCATCTTCTGTTAGCTTTCTTGGAATACACTAGTTTTTCATTATTTGGGGAAAACTTTGAAACATCTGAGATTTGTGTTAAGGAATGGGAGAATTCTATTTCAGAATTCTTTCTCATTAAATATTTGTGTTACTCTTCTCAATATTTTAGTGGAGCTATAAAGCAGGGCACAAGGTGTCTGCTCCAAACAGGTCTAAAAAATTACCTTGCCCAATGTCACCTGTATTTCCTTTAAGTACTCTCACCATGCTCCTAATTCTTCCATTTTTTGACCACTTATATTTCCAGCTTATGAAGGATTTAAGTTACTGGTGTTTTGGGCTTTTTTTTTTAAAGCTAATTCTTGGGATTTGAAAGATCTTGTTCTTGCTAAAGATCTGTTTTTCTGCATGCACTTTTTTTTCCCCTCTACTCTCTGTAGAGCTAATCAGAAATGTATTGAATATCTCATCAATATGTAGGCAGCTATGGAACCTATGCAAAAATAAGCAGTATTTTTTAAATTTAAGAACTTGTTAGTGAAATGAACTGTTCAAATGTGAATTGATTGTCCAGGTTTTGTAATCTATTACAGTTCCAGATATTTCAGTTATCTGGACAGTAATAGTGAAGGTCACAGAACTGCTTTTCTTTACTGAAATTCCAAGGAAAAATAAAATTTAAAGTTCATTTCAGTGCTGAGTATAGCACTAGGTGCAGTCTGGTATAATAAACCTAATCTTAGTTCAACTAGATCTGCAGTTCATGTCAACTAGATCTGCAGTTCATGTAGAATTCAAAAGGTAACTTCTGTTTTTTTTTTTCTGTAAGGAATTGTATTTGAATTTTTCGGTAAGGACTTCTATAAGACAAGTACAGGTGTGCCTTATACAAAGCTGATATTTATTGATTCTGCATTTCATTCCTTTAAATCATTTAGTAGAACTAACATCAAACACTAACAAAAACTGCATATTTACTTCTTTTAAAATGTATGTAATGTATTTCTCTTTCTACACACATTCAAGTCTTACTAAATCTGGTAGGACTTACTCAGGTTGTTTCAGTGGGAGTTGATCAAGTTGTTCATAGATGTGTTCATAAAAACTTTTTTTGATCTGTTGATGTTGAAATTTTTATCTTCTCTGCAGATGGACTAGAATCATCTCTATGTTCTAGACAAAAACTCAGTTTGGAGACCATCCTAGGTCTTTATTTGGCATTTCTGAAAGACTTACCAAATTATTCCTCACATATTTCCTGGGCACGGTAAGGTTGAACTAGTCAATGTAATTTCTTTGTTTTAATCATTTTTCAGAAATCCTTTACCCCACCTCCACTTTGGACTTTTGTTTTTTTGACTTTTGAACGTAATTACTTTGCCTCTTTTTGCCAAATGACTGGTATTTTTCAGTATTACAGGGAAGAAACAGAATCTTACAAAGGAAGTTACATCTTTGTGGCTCTTGTTCAAAAGCATTAAAACAGACCTCTCCATCTCTGGTGTCTTACCAGTAGTATCCAAAGTGGTGGACTCCTGATGGTTCCAATGTATTGCTACAAGGGCTTCTTATCACTAAGTTACTTGCATTATAGCCCGGCTAATGTCTGTATGAAACAGTAGCCCTTTAATCATTGCTCTCTTTAAACAAAGAAAAAGTATCCCTCCTGGAACAACTTTGGACTAATTGCGGAGTGCTGCCTCTGCTGCTAAGTGCTATTAACTATTTTCCATGCTATGCTGGTGATCACAGCTGTTAATAGATAAATATAATAATATAGATAATATACTGTATAAATTACATTTCTGAACTTTGAACTTTATGTACTTATATAACCACTATCAATGCAGTGGAAGATAAAGAATCAAAAGTTTATAAATGGCACAACTTGAATATTTCCTCCACTGTTAGACAGGTCATGTCATGCTTTTCATTCAAGCAGAACTTGACACAGGCTTTAGCAGCTTGATTCAAATGGGCTTTAGAAGCAAAGAACTAGGTTGGGTTTTCAAAATCTTAGGTATTCTTGATATCTACAGTAACAAAATATGGAAGTTAAGGAGTAGAATGCGAATTGATATTTTAAATATTCACTGTTCTTTTGTGCTCTTTCCCAACGTTGTTACAAAGATCAATGCAGACACATTTTCGAAGGCAAGGATTTGGATTTGGTCTTAAATGCTATTTTCTCTACACAGTAGTACTAAAAAAATCACCTGACTTGTTAGGGTTTTCTTTGCTATACATGCAGCAGTATTTCTTTGACTTGAATAGGTCTAGGAAAAAGATTCTGAGGGGAATGTTTTTAAAAAATGTTTGACATCTTGGTTTCTCTCCTGTAGAAGCCATTCCAGTAATTGACACAGAAATTACCTCACAAAGCTTCTCAATGGTGTATGGTGTTCTGCATTTTAACTACTAAAAGAAAACATATTTAAGGAGAAGGTATTTTCAACTTTTGAGACATTTGCATTGGAATGCTCCTTTCTCTATGCACCTCAATCTTGATCAGTATTACAGAGCTATTAACATTATTTCTTTTGATAAATACTATTGACACAATGGAATCATCAATTGGAGCGTTCCAAGTTTCAGTGTGATTTCATGTTTTGAGTTTTTTTCCTAGATATTAAAATAACAGTGCTCAGCTATCGGTCAGTCAACTGGAATGTTTTGGCTTTCAATAATTATGGTAAAACAAAAAAAATTCTTCAGAATTCATGAAAATTAGAGGGTTTTATTGATTTGATTGATAAGTTCCTTTCTATAAAATAATTAGTCAGTGGAGCATAAAAGCTTTGCTCTTTTCATCAGCTGAAAATGTGATGCTTAAAGGTGTCTGACTCTTCATGGCTTACAAACTTGATTATAATTACTGATAAATGCACACTTCTTTAACCTAGCTGCCTACATTCACGTTTTGATTTGAATTTGGCTGTGAATTTTCAGTAAGTTTTGTTGCATTTTTGAAAACCAAAATGATTGTCATTTGTGCCACTTCAGGTTTTGTGGTGATTAATTTGTGACTGCTATTTAAATGATATTTGAACTTTGAGTTATAAATTATAACTTTAATAACTTATATAAATTATAAAAAATGTATTTAACCAATTCTTGTCTGCCTGCTAGGTAACTAACAAGAAAAAACTCATGCTTAATTTTTCAGGATTTTGACACCTTTCAAAGAGTTTTTGAAGAGAGAAGAAAACTTAAGGACTTCTGGTGAAAAGGAAATGGATCATCTTTTTCATCTTGTAGAAGTCATAGAAGAAATCATAATGCTTGATTTCTCGGCTTCTTCAAACCAGTCTTTAATTGAAAATGTCTTGAATAATACAATTATATGGATAAAAAAAATTGCTGAGGCAAAGGAATCTGCTACTAATTTCTCACTTGCAGTTTCTGAACTCCATAATGATCTACAAAAGAATTTCCAGCCTCTTCAGAGATTCTGGACAAAAGAGAAGACAGAACTTTTCTGGCATATAGTGAATATTGTGTTTTATGAACTTGATTCTAGGCTCTCTCATTTGAGTCAAGTGGAAGAGGAGGTGATATTGAAGACCTTATATAGAATTATATTTTCCATTACAGAAAATAAAATCCATAATAGAAGTATGCTGTTGCTCCAAAATATCCTGACTGATTGGCCAGAGTTAAATATTGCTGCTTTGAACCACCTAAAACACTTAAGTGAAAACTTCTTAAGGAATCTCTATGATGTCAAATCATTGACTGATGATCATGTCAATGTGTCTTTCAGCACAATTCATGGAGTGAGTAATGCCTCTTTATTACTCTCAAATGCAACTTTTATATATAAAGTACAAGAATTAGGAGAAATAGTGCATCATTTCTTCAAGAACATCCAAAAATTAATCAGTACTAGTGCAGTCTCACTTGTTCCAATACTTTTCTCTCTGTATCAGTATGATGATCTGGTCTTAAATATTGAGAGCAATAGCACTCTGTTAACATTTCTTTATGAGACTTCAGAAGATATTTCATCTTTTCAAGTATGGCACGATTTCCAAGATAGTGATCGAGCTTTTGATTTTCTGTCTGAAACTTTTGATCTTCTCTGGAACTTCAGCAGTAAGTCTCTCTGTGAAAAGTTACTGATCATTTACAATTACACAGAGTTTCAGGCCAAGTCTCTTGCACAGAAAGGAAAAAAAGAGATGCAAGTTATCTATAGCACTCTGAGCAGTCTTAAAACTTTGCTTATAGGTGAAGAGTTCCCAACAGCTGCCTTTTGTTATTTGGAACAGTTCCTTGATATCTCCCCAGAATGCCTGGTAAATAATGGGTGCATTGATTTTTATCTATCAAATGTTACTTCTGTAGATCATTCAGCAGAGGTTTACAGCTTACTTCTGCTTCCATTGGACAGTATTCTGTCTAATATAACAAATTTGGGAGATAAGGTAAGTGTGCCTTATGCTTTGCGCTGCACTTTTACATGGCTTCAAACCTGGACAGAGATTTTTGAAGAAGCATCCAAAATCTTAAATTTGAATTCAACCTTTTTCATCTGTCTAAGAAATGGTTTGACAAATCTCTCTGAAAGTCTTTTAAATACAACTCATGACGAACTGTGCAATAATACAGCTATGGTTATTGTTGAAGCTACAACAGCAGCAATGAAACTATTGATAATCATATTTGAAGGAGGTGGTGATTTAAGCGACTGGAAAGATTTTGAAGCTTTCCTTGCTAATCTTCAAACTGTATTTAACAATGCAGTTGATGTCACAAGCTTGCTTAAAGGTAACAGTTTAGAAAACGTTTTAGAAATGATAGGAGTCATGATAACTGAATTACAGAAATCTATACTGAACGTTGTTAATGGAGAGTTTTTGAATTCTTGGCTTGATACATTCATCTCGGGAAGATCCGAGGGAGAAGATAGGGGTGCTGGTGTATTTTCCATTGGAAATTCCCTTTCTGCTATTCTCAAGCTCTCCCAAAAGGAACTTGGAATTATTCTCACTAAGATAAAAGACACAACTGCTTTCTTCAAAGGTGTACCTCAAGACAAATATATGCTTTGTATCAGCATTTTCCAGAATATTACCAAACTAATTTTGGACAATACTCTGAAAGACATAAGCCATTCACAAACACATTTTTCATCTCATCTTAATTCCTTTCTAAACTTTTATAGTACAGTGGAGGAAGCAGAGGATTGTAACAGATGGATACGTGGATTAAGTAATCTCAGTGAAAAATACAAGTCACCTTCCCACCTTGAAAATGCAAAACATGTTTTATTTCTACTGGAATCTCTGGGAAACATTGAGACAGATGCTAAGCTAATGAACGTGATGGACTTTGTTAATTTGATTTTTAATTTGATACTCCCTGAATGTTCCCTAACTGGTTCTGATGTGATTTGTGTAAATGTTTATTTCAATATTATAGCAAAAACTTTAAAATTTATTCTCCCTGAATTTTATGTAAAAGATGACATTAGGGTTCTTGACTTTATTTTTACACTTTTAAATAACTCTGGAGGGCAAATGCAAATGGCTGTCAATGATTTAGTGGGGGACTCATGGTATACCTCAAATAAGACCCATTTTAGTCAGTCAATCCATGGATTTAACAGGACTTTCAGGATGTTCCTTAATCCTTTTCGTCATGTTCAGCTTTCATCAGTAGAACTTTTGGCAGAAATTCAAACTTTTCTGAAGAATAAAACTTTTGAAATCCAAGAAAACAGCTCCTCTCATTTGGACATTGAGATTGAACATTTCTTGCATGGGAAAAATACCAGTTTGCTGATAGAATTCTTTCAATATGTGATTAGCAAACTTGACCCAAACTTGCAGGGTGAACACAAAACATTTCTCCAGAAACTGATAGAAACAGCAGCTCTGAATATTGAACTGGTAAGGAAGGTACATGAAAATTTTAAGTCTTCTAGTTTTATTGGCTTTCCATTAAGAGATGATAAAGAGTTTCTAAAGCATACGGTAGACTTGGTGCAAAATATGAGGAACATGGATGTTGAGTTCTTGATAAGTCAATTCAAACAAGTCCAGAGGAGCCTAGATAATTTCTTTAAAAATATCAAACCTTTGTGTATTGATAACTCTGAGTTAGAAATGTTAACTGACTGGTGGAATGCATTTGAGAACAATTCGTGTAAACGGAACCTGACTGGGTTGTGGCAAATAACAAGACTCTTTGAACACAATGAACTCTATGATGTAGAAGAGATGTTCCACCTCCTCCTTGATGTCATCAGCCTTTCAGAAAGATTAGCTCATGGAAACATCACAGAAGCACTAAGTGAAGTATATACTTTCATATTGACTCAGGAAGCAAAAATGCCAATGTTTACTGAAGAGGAGTTCTCCAATCAAGTAGAAAGTCTTCTAATGTTATTGGAGATGTTGACAGATACGTCTGACGAACCTGCAGAGGCCTCAATTTGTTTTTCTACAGCGTTCTGCTGGACTCTCACAACAGCAGCACCTCAGAGTGATCCCACTTTTAAACCTTGTGACTTTATGTATAGCAATTCTACTCTTAATTACAATGCAGTCATTGAAGTCATTAAGGAGCTGAAACTCATCACTCTGGAGGACAGTTCCTCATGCGGTATGGAACACTTTCAGATGGATATCGCTCGCAATCTGACTTGCTTTTTCCATCAGATCAGAGAATGGAACTCTATTCTTTTGAAGTTTTCTGAGCTCCATCATGTGAATGGTTCAGTTCTCAAAGAGCTGCTAGATTTTTGGAATGAGCTATCCCTCTATGCTGTGCCACTGCAGGTGAATAATACATACTCAATCAATTGTTCCTCCACACCAAAGAGAAAAGTGGCTTTACAAATTGTAGAAACACTGGGAGGTATGCCAGTGGGAGAAATGGAGATGGCAAAAGATGTTCTTGAACAACTGGATGATCTTTATGGTGGTCTAAGTTGGAACAGACATTCAAGAACATCCCTTATAAAGACTGTTCTTACTCATGTTAAGAATATGACCAGTGAAATTTCTGGGGTCCTGGATACAGAAGCTGTCCTTTCTTTTCTTTCTGTAATTCAGCCTTTAATGACGCTGTCTTCTGTTGGAAACCAGACATATTCAATGTTTATGATATTATCAGCTTTAAATGGAAACAGTAATATATCTGATAACTTTGAGAACTTCTTGTTTCCTATAGTTACAAGCATAGAAGATTTACTGGTGAATTTTAATGTTAGACACTTACTTGTGGTGATAGACCAAGAGTTTCAATTACTGAGGTTAGCCACTGGACAGTCCTCTTCAATGGCTCATGATATTTTAATACAGCAGTTTAATGCATCATCTGTAGAAGCTATGTTAAGAAATTTTGAAGACATACAAGAGATTGTGAACAGCTTTCTATGCAAGTGTAACAATAAAAATTATACTAAAATAATGCATGCTCTAATTCTCCTTATGACTAATGAAAATTCTTCAAATGACCTACTGCTGGTTGTCAAAGACATTATTGGCTTTCTGGAACTATTCCAAAAGAAGTCTAAGGAAGACAACACTGGTATGTTGTTTGTTGATGGTCATCTTGGGAGAGAAAAATTGAATAATACTCATACCGCTAATTCAGTTTTGCTAAACAGTCTCCTTCATGCAATTGCTGATCATGATGTTATAGAAGAAGCTCTGCATATCAACAATATTGAGCTTCAGATAGTCAATTTCATTGACTCATTTTTTGATAACGTACTATACAGAGAAGTTTCTACTCAGTCCCAAAACAGAACTCTGGAGATCATGCAAGAGATCTTGCAAATGATATTTCAGTCTACTACAGAACATGACAGGAACAAAATAACTTTACCAAAGGATTTGCATAAGGATATAATGGCAGAAATGAGGTGAGTGTTTTCTATGTACTTATTTTGACAGTGCTGACAACAACAAAAGGTGTCTGTCTTTGTAAATAGCTCAATCAAAACTTTTATTAAGTTAATTACTGTTTCATTTTGGGTTTGTGCCTTTGAGTAAAACAATATTTTGTATCAACTTATGTTGTTCAGACCACCCATATTTGGTACCACATTATATTGTGTGGAACAGGTTATGGGTGTGTTTAGTAATCTGTATCGATACTTGAGGTGGTTTGTTTGGAATTATGATAGAACCAACTATTTCAAGATATTAGTGTTTTAAAATCCTTGCAGTTCTGAACATTAAACCCATAGTTACTGGGGGACAACAGTCAGTTTGGTTATGGAGCTAAGTATTAAGGAATGCTTGGGACTAATGTTTTGTGGTGTAGTGGTGTTTTTTCTTTATTTTTCTTTCCAAATGTAAAGATACTGTATTTGAAAAGTCTTCAACTTAAATTTGCTGTTGACTTCTGCAAACAAGATGACCCTTTGGAGTCTATGGTTATAGTGCTAAGTTGTTCAGTTTAACAAATGCAGTTTCTGAAGGAATCTTGAGCCCAAGATCATTTTTGCCAGATTACTCAAATCAAATGTAATCCAGCAGCAGAGGAAACTCTGCTTCAGGAGTATGTTTACTGACAACTAATTTAATAGAAGTACCGCTGGACTGGAGTTGCTGCATTTAAGTAATACTCACTGAATGAATCTCAGAAGATTATTGCTCCAAACTGCTCTAGAGTGTCTTGCTGGTGGAGCTACTGATCCTACTGGCATAGACCAGCTGAGAAACAGCATACTGAAGCTGATGCATGCCTCTGATGTGGTATTTAAACCTTTATGATTAATTTTATGCAACTGTGTGAAACCATTGGTCAGCAGGGCCAGGTATTAGCCAAATATGTTAAATCAAAAGCAAATACTAGAAAAGGGGGCCACCAAAATGATCAGAAGGATGGAACAGCTCTTCTATGAGGACAGGCTGAGAGAGTTGGGGTTGTTCAGCCTGGGGAAGAGAAGGCTCCGAGGAGACCTTATTGCAGCCTTCCAGTACTTAGAAGGGGGCTTATAAGAAAGATGGGGACAGGCTTTTTAACAGGGCTTGTTACAATATGGCAAGGGCTAATGGTTTTAAACTAAAAGAGGGTAGATTCAGACTAAGTATAAGGAAGAAATTTTTCCCACTGAGGGTGGCAAAACCCTGGCACAGGTTGCCCAGAGAGGCGGTAGCTGCCCCATCCCTGGAAACATTCCAGGTCAGGTTGGACGGGGCTCTGAGCAACCTGGTCTAGTTGAAGATGTCTGTGCTCATTGCAGGGGGGTTGGAATAGGTAACCTTTAAAGATCCCTTCCAACCCAAAGATTCTATGGTTCTATGAGAAGCGGTCTATTTTCCCTGAATGCTAATTATCAGAGATTTTGAGTATTCTGCTTTTTGATATCAAGCCAGTATATGCTGTAGGCTTTCAGTATGAAGACGTTATGATTTTGTTTATTTTGCTAAGGTAGTTAGGTAATTTTTAGCACTCACAAGGTCTGAAGAAAGCTGATGACTTATTACCTTGATGAAAACTTCCCTTCCCCCTACCCTCTACCCCCCCACCCCAGAAGTATTACGTTCTGATGTTGAAATAGTTCAGACAAATGTAATAACTGTTAATACTGAAATGCTTATATGATCCATTGAAAATTGCAACTGTACATAGGCACTTGTTGAAAATTTTTCTGTGGTACCCGTGTTATAAAAATAATGCTTTCTTATTAATCTTTCTGCAGAGCATCTGAAATCTGCAAGATTCTTCAGAAACATTTATACCCCGATAGTGTCCTACTATTGCAGAAGTTGCAGTTTACTATTTTGAATGTTCTTAAAATTTTTTCAGGTTGGTTACCACAACAGCAACTGAATGGGTCACCATATGTGTTAGTACTATAATATTAAGGCTTTACTCTAAGCAAATTTTGTAAAAATAAGCTTACCTGTGTGATGTCAAGCAAGGCAAGCATACTGATGCCTGGAAACTAAACCAGCAGAGGCACAGGAAAAATTATGATGCAGATCACATAAAGAGATTATTTCTTTCCAGAGTGGTCGTGTTAATTCAAAATCTCAGTGGAAGCAGGAGGTCTTGCAGCTCCTCTTCTCTCATTTTTAGCCATCTGCTCTTTCCCTTCCTTCTGGGCTTACTCTGACACACCAGGACCTCTTCTGTTTTTGATTTGACTCACAAGCCCAGCAGAAGACTCTACACACATTTGGGTTTTGTCTACCTTTTTTACTGGATATTTTTCTGCCAGGCTAATGAACCGAATCAAGTCACAGAGGTTTTTTTTTAATGAGCTGGAGTTGCCACAAGGCAGCATATAGCTGACAGAAAGCAAAAATGGGGCAAGTATATAAAGGAAGTGGCACCTCCTATTTCTGTCTGTGTTGAGCCAGTGCACTGGCTAACTGTAGCTGAACAACTTCAACAAATTATTCAATTTTTAATGTATTAGGCTTGTCTTATTCCTTGCATATAGGCCCCCAAGATGAGCACTTTAAGAAAGGCTCTGTATTGACCTAAGGGTATAATTTCATATTATGTTTTCTTTGGGAAAACCAAAACCTTTACTTTTCAAAATTCATATTTTAACCCAACTATGCCCAGAACTGCTTTCAAAGAGCAATTAGTAAGCATTAACCTGTCATTCTAGAGCAAGGGATGAGATCAGAAATGCCTTATGCTAACTTCGTTTCCAAACAAGACATAAGATGTGATTACAACCCAGTTCTGGCTATCTTCACTCTTCTGTGACTGACGCAGTTCCCAAAGAGTAAAACAGTAGCAATGTTGAGCTCAGAATAAGTGATACTGAAAACGTGTACCAGGTACCTGGAATCTGTATTTGACCTCGGAAGATCAGTCTGTTTATGGAGTAAACTGAGATTAATGAACTAAATTTTTGTCATTGTTATTTCAATGCTCTGCTCATAGGGATGTTTCATAATGTTTCATTTGACCCAGAAAACATTATGAAACCTAATGAGAAAAGATGAAACCTGCTTAACTTACTATGCAACTCAGTAATGCAAACTATCACTTCTGTGAACAAGATCAAGGTTTGCTTGTTATAGAAGCACCGATGAATGTTTATTATTCTTCCTTCTTGACTTATGAAGCAAACATAAGGAAAAAAATATGGGTGGGGTGGGGGGAGAAAAGTTGATCATTCCATAAACCAGGGTTCAGTTGTCAAGCCAAACTCCTTCCCTGCTATCCCATGTACAAACTCACTACAGGCAGGGGAATGGAGCTTTTTTCCCAGTACGTGGGGGCTGCAAGCTTGGCTAGAAACTTCCTCCATGTGTGATCAGGTGATAAATATCCCCTATACGGATTCTTTATCCCCAGATATGCAAAATATCTAAGTAATGCTGTTTCCCTCCCCTTGCAGCTAAAGTTTGAAAGTTACTACTCACTGGAGGGTTAGTAACAGCCTGATGTTTCCACAGGGAAATAGGATCAGGGGAGCCTGCCCAAGGAAGAGGTAGATGTGGTTAATATGCACAGCTTCTCAGAGTTATGCTTCTTGCCCACAAAGAGCAAAAATGAAATTTTCTTATCTGGTTCTGTAGCACGTATTGCTGTTTTTATTATTCATCAGGAAAGTGTAATGGAGAAGAGTAATGGAAATTCAATCAAACTAGCCTTTTATGCTCTCTGCAATGATAAATAAATTTAGTCAGAAATATATCTCAGTGCCTTAATGCATCAGACTTTCTTTGCTTTTAAAAACTGTTCTGTCCCTTATTATTTGGTTAACTTTTAATCTGATTACAGTAATTTATTTATTTTTTTTAACTGATTAAGCCTGGGCATTTTCTCTTACAGAAGAACCAGTTGTCATTGGCAATGTTTTCTGTGTTGTTACAAAGTGTAAAGATGGACTAATGAGTTACTTATTCCTCTCTGTCATTGAAGGAATCACTCTGCTTCAAGTTCATTATCAGGTTTGAGTGGTTTCCACACCTACAAGTGTTCTTTGCAACATGTATTAAACTTTAGAAACTAATGGGAATGTCGTCTTTTTTTTTCCTGCTGTCTGAATGATGAGCCCCCACAATGGCTATACAAAGCTGAGGTTTACAGCTAGTTAAATAGCTCTGCTAGTTTGTCTACCTGGACATTTTGCTGATATGAATGGCAGTGTTTTAAGTAAACAGATGTCAGAGGCATCATTCATATCTCAAAGTAGACTTTTGAGGAACAAATGCATTTCTGTAGTCACCACCATTCTGTTGACCTACTTCTGAAAATATTAAAAAAACCTTGCAAAATCAGAAATGTGAATATTCAGGAGAGAGATAAAAGTGAATACTATACAAAGCATAATGCAAGAAAAACTATGGATACGGATATCTAGATATTTGGGTTTTCTGAATGGAAAATGATGTTGTTTAGAACATTTTTTTGGGAAAAAGATAAAATTGGTCAGCCTAAAATAAAAAAAAAAGAAAAGCTCATTTCATGCTGCAATTAAATTTCAAATTGAAGTGTTGATGTTTCTGTTAATGGATGAATCTCCTTGATAGGCTAGGTTAAATTCATAAATATTTTTTGTTGTTTCCAAAACTCAAATTTTTGGAAATTCTTTTGTTCTTGAAAACTTCTCACCCAGTTTCAATTACAAATACAATGAGTAAAAGAGTATTACCTTGCCCATGTTCTAATTTAAAAATATGCATCATCGAGTTGCCAAGACCTGCTACATCAAGCAATAACATCATCTCATGAATTTGTTAACTGTATGATCACTGTGTTTTGCAGGATATTGAAAGAATGTGGTCTGCTTTCAACAAGGGGGATTGTGAGAGTATGGCATATATAAACCAAAAACTTTCTAGTACTTTGGAGAGCTTTCCAACAGCCTTGCGGAATACCAGCAATGGCAGCTGTGAATGTCAACTAACATTGGGGAACATACAGAGACGACTGCAAAAGTAAAGCCTTTTACATTTTGGTACCCCAAAGAGTACTTGTTAGAGATGCTATTTTGTGCATATGTTTGTGTTCTAAATTATGTAGTTACAGGAGAATTGCTATTTAAAGTTTTTTTAAAACTTTCTTCATTTAGCTGAAAATTGAGTGGATACAATGCACAAATTATTTAAGTAATTTAGCAAAATTCTGGATACTTCTAAAAGCTCTCACACTTTTGCTGAGTACTTGCAGCAGATCTTGCTGCTCCACAAGGAGAATGCGTTGAATCGCAACTGAGAAAATTTTCAGTTTTCCATGATGTCAGTTAAGTCAAAATTTTGATATCTTAATTTTTTATTTAAAGCTGTTTTGCTAGGGCCTTGTCCTCTCAGCAGCTGGATATCTTTTGCAAAACATTAAACATTCAGATCAGTTCAGCAGTTCAAACAGCCAGAAACACAGGAAGGATGGTGTTTGTAAACTGACAGGCTTGAACTCCAAATAATTTCAGATATTTGCTATTCTTTTGAGGGCAAAATAGTAGGTTTTAAATAAATGAGTAAAATTGCTGCTACAGAGTATTTAAAAGTTGCTGTCAGTTAGAAGCGGTCCTTGTTATAAGTGTTGCTCTACTGATTTGACTGTTGGGTTGTTTTAATAAGGGGCTTGAATGGTCTCTGCGAATTATAGTAATAAAACAGAAGAACTTGAACTTACACGCTGGTGGTCTATGGACCATAGACTTATGTCCAGTTTTTGAACGGTAAATAATATCTGACATGTGTATACTCTTTGTTACTTAAATTACAATTAAGTAGACTTTATTAATCTTGAACTGCAGTGTGTGGTATCTCTAGGTTTTAAAAATGCATGTTGTGAAAGAAACATGGAAGTAAGACATTGCTAGACCTGTGGTTCTCCGGAAGCTACTGTTTGCTAGAGCACTTAGCTATCATGGGAAGATCTCCACATTTGCAGTCTGATTTAGGCATGAAATGTTATGATCCCTGCAGCATGTAAGTCCAGCATGAGAAGGTCTGTAGAGCTGCTTACTGCATGCACAGTGTATGCACAGAGCATAATGTGACCCTTTTGCCTCATTTAGTGGCTGTTCCACTATTCATGTTAGACTTTGTATGTTGTAATGTCAATGACCTGATTCTGATAACTTGTGAAACTAAGGCTGTCATTTCAGGATGGCTGAAAATTTGGAGCTACAGTTGTCAGAAAATCCAACGGCAGCTTTTCTCAGCAATTTTAATCTTTTGAATGGTGGGTTCCAGTTTTATTCACTTTTTTACAAGCCACTGCTGCATAATTTTATAGAACAATAATTTTTCCATTGTTCTTCAAACTTTAAAGGGATATTACTTAGAGACTACCGATTGAATGCAGTATATTTTCATTGTACACATGTGCACATAAATGCATGTTGGCACAGGACAGCATAGTCAGAGCCTGTCCAATGAGATGCAGGGATTTGTTAGAAAGAAGAGGGAACTTAAGTTAGTAGAAGAAGAAAATTTTAAAGGACTAAAGGCTGCTTCACTAATTTCAGATGTTCTCATAATACAGGGATGTGGGATAACCTATGCTCTTATAGGATAATGCAAATAGTTGTACAAGCCCTTCAGTCTGCCAGGAGAGTGCCCTTTGCATTTGAAGTAAAGTCAATTACATGACATGAAGTTTTTGTGTCCTTTGTCACCCCTCAGAATAAATCCAATGAAAACGATACAGACTGTGGGCAATTTAATTAAGCAGATCAATAGTGTTGGCACTATTTTTCTTCTTTTCCAGGTGTGAAAGTCAAAGAGTGTGTGCAGAATCTTACTCGGCTGAGGCTGGACATTGGTTCTTCTGTCAATATTTCTGAAGAAACTATCAATGCCATCTTGGAAGCCAGTATCTCCTATTCAAAGGTAAAAGATTGAAAAGAGGTGTTAAATTAATGGGCCAACCTCTAGCCTGATGTGCCAACAGAAACAAAACAAGCCACCTTGTTTTTGTGGAATCTTATTTTTTCACTTGTCACTTCTATGTGGAGTATTTGTGAGATTGAGGACTTCAAAATAATAATGTGAAGCATCACGAGATCAATTTATATTATCACTAGTCTTCTGGCCTAAATGGCACTGTTTCATTACTTTCAGCAGTGTTTTACCCCCTTGAGCTGACACAGAATTTGAGCTTTGCTATTTTGGTACTGTAAAAACGGTGAGGGTTTCTGGAGAAATAATTTCTTCCCTTTCTTTTGATCCTTGCAGTACCGAGTTGTCTGATTTTTTTATTTTTATTATTCCTTTGTGTGCTCCTCACTGTTCTTACATTATCTTACCAATATCTTGCCTTACCTCCACTTTAGTCATGTGTTGTCTCTTGAGTATTGTCTAAAGGGTGGATCGTGTAAGTTTTCTGAGTGAAGGACTGTGTGTGTTATTGCTGCTGTTTCCTGTGATCCCAGTGATCAGTAGAAATCACAAAAAATGCCACCTAACTTACAGGTTCTCTCTCCTGTTAATGTTTGTATGACTGGAAAGGGTTGGGGGTATATTTGATATACACTAACCGGGTCAAACAAGCAGCCACTGGGTGTCACTGATGCTCCACTTGCAGAAACAGTTGCACGTTTTGTTCATGAAAAGCCTGGCTTTTAAAATCGCAGTTCAGACCATCATAACTACTTTATAGATGATTTGTTCTTTTTCTTCTTTGGCACTGTGACTGCTTTTATTGTTAGATTGTTATTTTGATACCAGTAAATGGTAATGAGAGAAGTAATCTGGAATCGATTAGGTTAAATGGCATTCGGTGCACCTTTGATCTTTTGGAATAATAATGCTAACTGACTGAATTTTCAAATTTCTTTCTATCCTTATTTTTTGCCAAAGTCCTATGTAGAGTTTATGTATATGTACACATCTTACATTTGCCTATCTATACAGAATTTTTTGTTTAAATGCTTAAATCCCCTCCCAGTCCAACTGGAGCATTAAAGCCTGTGTCTCTCACTGATTAGGCAAGATGCACAAGTACTTTTTAAAGCTATAATTAGGCATGCCCACTATGTTTATGGTATATATAGCCACTGTCTGATAACCCTAATGATAGCTGCAGGCCCACTGCAGTCCTCTGTTTCTGTGATTGCATACTACTACTACTGTGCTTGCCTCTGCAATGGTAAGAGTAAGCCTTTGAGTTTTTGTTGCACTTACCCTTAATTTCTACCACAGTGTTATGCTCTGGCCATGCTCATTGCCAAATGAGCTGAATGGTTAAAACTGGACTGGAATGGTGATATTCATGTGGGGCATGAGGAAATAAATTTCAAATTGTATTACAGAGTCAATTTTCCTCCACAACCAGAAATCCAAATCACTATCCTTTTATGCTGCTAGCAGAATTATATTTATCTTCATATTCTGTTCCTTGTCCATGCACAAAAAACCTGAATATTTAAATACATAGGAAATCTTTTGGAATCACAAAGGCAAAATTCTGTTCTAGAATAAAAATCTAGAACTCTAATTATTAAATTGGAAGTTAAAATGTTCATAGGAATTGAAGAGTTAAATTGCATACCTTGACCAACTTTGGCTCCTAATTTGATTTTCTTGGGGATCCTCTCCCTCATTGGGTACTGTAACTAGCTACGGATGCATTCAGTGGAGGCAGTACAGGCAGGTTCTGTCCTAAGGAGAACAATGGAGCCCTGAGTACTGCACTTTGGTTCCTACAGGCTCTGAACTTGTAATTTTTCTGGACTTGCTGCCATTTGCTTTCTTTCAGGCCTTTCAGGAGAAAGGGTAACTAAGAACTCCTGAGATATCTGGGATGCAAGCATTTGTCTTTTGATGTGACATTTTTGTAGGAAGAAACAAACCATCATTATCCAAGGAGTTTTTATTGTAGTCTCACCCACGGTCTGCTTAGGCATTTGTCCCTTCATCCATTATTAAATAGTAACACCACCAAGGACTGTTGAACTGAGAAATGTGAGCTGGCTCAGAGTGAACACTGTGCTGTATAGGTATCCCTAAGTGTTAAATTTGTGTGTCCTCTGAAAGAAGGAGGGTCCGTATTGTTTGATTTTAGTGATTTGTACATCCAGATTTTGATCTTTAAGTGTTTCTGCAACAAACGTGTATATCTGTTAGAATGGGCGTGTTCAGCGTTGTAAATATGCTTGCTTATGGTATGAATGCTCATAGAATGAATGATCTGTTAAAAAATGAAAGTAAATCTTTATAAGAAATACATTTCATCTCTTTATATAGACATAGAATATAAAGTAAGAATATGCCAATCTGATACAGAGCTGTATAGTTCGTTATTTCAGGTCTGTTGATGACTGCTAATTGTCATGTTACTGTGATGCAAATTCTCACCTTATTGACTATGAAAGAAGGTGCTGCATTTCAGGGAGAAAAATTTTTAACACATATACATTATGATAGTTTTCTTACAGTGCCTTTGTAGCTTTAACTGGAAGATGTGATGAAGAAGTACTTAGCCTGCTGCTAAAGCTACCTGAAAAGACTAAAACTTCCCTGGTAGTCGAAGAATTATGTTCTTTACCAGCATTGGACTTGTATACCATGTTTGTACTGATTATACAGAATTTGAACTTACGTCATATCATTTACAAGGTAAGATGTGAAAAAAAGTGTTTACTTCCTATATTTTTCTTTTGAAGGTGGTCTAAAGCATGCAGGTAGATAAATGCATAATTCTGTTATTTCTTCAGATGTTCATTCTCTGTGGAAGCAAGCACCAGGGATATAGCATTTTTTTTGTCTTCATTTAGTTCTGTAAAGCAAGGACAACAGTTGAAGAATGGGGTTGGTAGAAGCTGCTGTATTCCATTTCTTGCTTTCTCAGGAAAACCACCGCTGAGGAATTAATTATGAAAGCTTTGGAGAAAACACAGGAGGTTGAAGACATAGTTTTATTAAACTTTACCTGTTTGCAGTTCATGCAATTAATCTCTTCTTAATTTTTGAGTGTGGAAGACTGATCTGGCAGGATTGGAACTAAAACAAGCATAGGAGCTCACATAACAAGAAATAAAAAAATATTTTCTAGGAAAAATTCATAGCACTCTGGAATACATTTTATTTGCTGTAGAAATCAGGTTGGCAATTCAGATGGCTCCTTCAGTAAGGAGCTTTTCCAGCTCAGGACTAACTTCTCAATAAGGGCAAGCTTCCTATATTTTATATGACCCAAATCAAACAACTTTGACAGGAATGGTACAGTGCCAAAACTATAATGAAGGGGATGCAGAAGTCTGTAGCAAAACTGTATTATCTATACAACTGTAGATAATCTAGTGTGGGTTTAAAAAGCAAAATTTTTGGATGGGATTCTGATAGTAGATGTTTATTTCAGTTCTTTTGGGGTAATTGATTAACAAAACATAAAAAATTGTAAGTACAAATAATTGAAAAATAGTTATAAGATTGGGAGGAATATTGTTTTGTTATAAAGCTGTAGATGCCCAGTTATATTCTGGATGCTGTATGTGCAGTTAAACAGGTTGGCCACACACTCTTAAAAATGAGAGCATTTCCCAGAATAGGTTAAGATACCAGTGGAAAAAGAAAAGATCTATACTTTCTGAATTATCTGTCAACATAAAGGGGGGGAAAAAAACAGTGCTTATTCTGGTAGGCTTTTCTGCTGAACACTACTGAAGCATAATGTATTCCTAGCAAAGAACAAAAAATGTTGTCAGCTCATCCTAAACTATTATGGAAGCTTTGCTTATTTTTCAACTGAATAAGTTTTTTTCACTTTTTTTTAATGTGTAAAAGCAGGTGAAGGCTGAGAAGAAAATTAAACACAGATGTTATTACAGTAGGAAGTCAAATAAAGGTGGATAAAATAAAGATAATCAGAGGAAGCAGCTGAAAGTATATAATGAGATTATATTGTTTTTATTATCATGCATAGGCAGGTAACAATAAATCAGTTTGTATTACTATATCATCTAAGTAACCTATAAAAGCAAAGGAAATAGAAAGAAAATTCATAATGCCAGAAGTTGTATGGGTGGAAACAGCAAACAGCCAATTGAGCTCTAGTCAAGTAGGGAATGAAATGCATACAATTATTTTAGGTAAAAGGTGGTGCGTATGGAAAATGCAAAGGAAGGAACAGTGTGCCAAGAAAGTTTGTTGTCTAATATTATTCCTAAAGCCACTACAGTGGTTGCTAGATTTAATTTAACTTATAAATTATTTTAAAAATATTAAACTGTTGCATTGAGCATTGTGAACTTGTTGAAGGAGAAGTTATAATTTACACTGAATTCCAAGGGGCAGGATGTTGCAGATCCCATTAACATCTTGGGAAGGAGACCTCTCTTCAGCTTGGTAGGTATAAACATGTTCTCTGGATTTTAATTCCTGATTTGTCGTAGGCTGGTTCTAACATTACCAGCGAATTTTTCCTTAGCTGAATTTGAGCATAACTGGGGAGTTATACTAAAAGCAGTTTTGTTAAACATGGTTTGCAGGAACATTGTATGGTCAGTTTTAGGAAAAGACTAAATAATTCTGAGTGTTCCATTGAAAAGTTAAAACTTTTTTTTTTAATTGGAATTTATTGTTGTGATTTTTTCTTTCTTTTCCAAGATTAAGATACCATCTGAGATAGGCAATGTACTAAACATGCTACAGGATATGGTTTCTAGCATCAGCTCTCTTCTCAATAAAGCCCACCATGTCATGGAAAACCTTCCAGTGTTCCTCCAAGGAATTCAAAATATTGGTGTGCTTGACATCTCTGCATTGCAGCAGGTATGTGTATGATTTCAATATACAAACTTTTTTCCCATCAGGAGGTGCTTTGTTAGGGATGTGTGCTTAGTAAGGATGGACACCAGTAGAGATTGTGTCCTAGAAAGTTGGGAACTTAGAGAAGAGAGTCCATAGACCCTAGTAAGATTCATTTGGTCTCTTTCAAGCACTCTGGCTTATTAATGAAAAGTAGCACGCTAATTTATTAATTAAGATTATCACACTAATTTTGTGACTATCAATGTATTGTTTCTGTCATCTCTCTTTTTTTCGTTAATTTATGAGATTATAGCCCAAGTTAATGTGGTGTTAGGCTACTGATTAATAATAGCACGTATTATTTTCAGTTTGGAGGTAGCCATGCCTTTTCTGCTAATGCTGTACTTTTTTTTTTTTTGATAAGCAGACTATTACTTTGTTTATAAGAAATAGCTTTGCTTTTTTAAACATTAAGATTTCAAGACAACATGTGCAGTTCTTGTATCTGCCATGCATTTCTGTTTGTGTTGCTTAAGGTTTTTGTGTGATAATTCTGCTTGACATTTAAAAACAAGTGGCATGAGGTGTGAGTGAGAATATTTCTTTTGTCCCTGCATTTAAGGGCAGTTGCTGTGTCTGCATCTATGCAGCTAGCACAGTGGTGGATCTAGTATTAAACAAATTAGAGAAGATTTCTGTTTCTAAGCAGGGTCCAATTCCATAAGAAGACCTGCTGACTCCGATGGGATTGCCTTCTGGATTTGCTATTCTGTGTGGAAAGTTTAAGATTGCATCTGGTTCTAAGATTGCAGCCTCTGAAAGATCCCTCAGTGGTAAACAATGCAAACTGGTTTTTGACTGTAGTACAGAGTAAAGGCTGTACTCCCTAAATACTGTTTTAACTAGTGATATGAATCTTTCTCAAGATCTTCTAACCTGTGTGACCGAGAGGCATGTTGTAAAATGCAGTTCTGTGCATATTGGTTTGTTTTTGAACATCTCTTCTTTGGGGTAGCCCTGTGGCTGCCACAATGAAAGGCGGCTTTCATCAGATGCTTACATCTTTCCTGCTTTGCTTAAACTAGTTCTGCTTGTGTCAGGCTTTCCTTCAAACAAAGGAAGTACTCTTTTTGGAGTGAAGCCCCGAAGTTGCTTATTTGATAGAAGAACCTCTCAAAAGGTCCTGTTCAAAAAAAGTTTACAAAGGAACAAATCGAACAGCAGAGGGCCATCTGGTCACAGTTTTAATCTTTGCTCCACGGCAACCCATATTATCCTGTAATATAGCATAGATTTAACCTTGGAATTTTTGTTCCTTTTTACACCTTACCAAAAAGGTCAGTTATTGACCATAAATCAAATAAAGATTTGGTCACAATCTTTATTTTCTTAGTTTTTATTTATTCCTTTTTTCTTGAGAAATTGCTATTTGTTTTTGTCACCTAATAATTTGTGGAGGATTAAAAAAATTCAGTGTCTATTTCTTTTGTTAATAAATTAGATGTTTGATGTTTTGAAGGGCTCTTCTGTCTCCAACTTTTTCTCATTTTGTAGACTAATAAAAGCTGTTTATTTTAAAATATCCTTTCCTTTTCAGGTTTAACTGGATTTTTTTTCTATTTTCAATAATACCTTTAATTATTGATTATTTTGTTTGCTTCTTTTCTATAGTGGCCAAACTTGTGCTACTGAATAAGTGTGCTCCTAAACTGCAGTTATTACTTATACACTTTCATCTTTAAATATTTTCTTCTATTTCCAAAAGAGTCCATCCTTCTGGATTTTTATTGTCATGAAACTAACAGCAAAGTAGTTTGGTGACCTAGGAAAATCACCAAATAAAGTATGTAAAGCTTTGAAAAGTAAAAATATGTGGACCTTCAGCACAGAGTAAGACAGATTGTCCCATTCATTAACTTCTAATTGAAAAGGTTATTTTGAAGTTGATTTAAAAAAATTAATTACTTCTATAATGAAAGAGGTAATAAAGTAATTGTTAATTATGCACGTGGACTTTTATTTGTAGGCGGCTGCTTGTTCTATTTCATCAGCTTTGATTACAGACCTACTTAATTTAGTTTAAGCTAGAGCAACCGGATCAAAGATAACTTTTTGAGAACATCCATCCTATATAGTTCTTCCACTTTATCAAAGCTAAATTTTAGGAAACATTTTATTAAGTCAGTGGATATTTAGTTGAAAGACAGTAAGTAGATTCAGTCTGTTAGTGGCAGCTTACCGCATACATATTCATTATTTGAATTTCAAGTTATTTTGATTGGAACCAGAATTAATTAGCAAGTTTTTGCTCCTTGACTGAAATAAGCCTCATTTATCCTTCTACTGCAAACAGTCACTAATAAGAATTCAAAACCACCTTTACTCAGCATTGTGCAAAAGTAAAGTTTATTCTTCCAGTAAAGTCCGTGCCAGCAGACTCATTCAAGAGCTGTAGATGATGGTGTTATGAAATCTGAATATTATCTATTTACTATGCTGTATGCTGAAACTGTATGCAAAAAGTCAGATTTTGGGAGCAACCAACACTGAGTTTTAAATAACACTTTCGAATATTCCTCCAGGATTACTAAGAAGCACCTGGAACTTCAGTAAACGCATTGATCAGGATAAACTGTTCTAACAGCACAATCTCTAAACTGTCTGATTTATTCTTTATGTAAAGTGCTGTAGTACTTTGAAAATTGACTCTCCTGTTTAGAAAAAAGGTCCCAGTGACAAAATGCTAGTTTATTTCAGTGTCAAATGTGCGGTTGACATATCACAGTCTTTTTTCTATTTGCCAGCTTTGCAGTCTTCAAAAGATATCTGATAGTCTAGTTATGTTTTCCTTGACAAGCATCTGCAACAGTAATGAGCACCAGAGGTGCCAATGCATCCTTCAGTTATACTCTTGCAGCACGTTGCCTTGCAGTTGTATACTCTCCTAGAACCGTGCACCTGTACAGTTTTCCATGAGATACCAGTTACAACTGAGCATGTTATTTAATAAATGAAGCTGCATAGAGGAGGTGCTGAATGATGGTGCTTAAGCCATAAAAGCAATCAGATTGTTCTCCTCATTATATGTATGCTAGTCATGAGCAAATGACAATAATAAATGCTGGTATGACTTAAGATGTAGAAAAAGTAGAAGCACAGCTAACAAGTTAAAAGATGTACTTGAAAAATAGGCTTTTAGGGCATGTGTATTTGAATATTTTTTTTTTTTTCTTCTTAGCAACTGTTTTTACTGCAAGCATTCATATGCAAGATGGTTTTGGTTGTTTGTGCTGTCTTTGGAACACAGGAGTAATCTACCAGAAGGGCAGGCTTTGTGAAAACTGGCATTGTAATTGAGGAATCTGTAGTCCAGCTGTCTTGATATTTTCATTCCTTTTCTGCCTAACCAACACACAGTATTTTTCAAAGTTTAACGTAGTACATTATACTACTGTCTTTCATTGAGTATCCTGGCAAATATGACTGCATTACCTTTCCCCTCCTGCCCATGATAAAGGAGATAGGAGAACAGAAAAGAGCACAGCAGGCCCTCATTCTCGTAGGCAGTTTCAACAGTCTAATTTTGTCAATCTCCTTGGATGCCAATATTGAGAGAACACCAGGGCTACTCCTTGAAGCTGCTAAAAGCAACTTTGATTCATCTGTAGTTCTGTTTGTTCTAGTTCTTGCAAGGTGGGCAGTTCAGAAGTTCAGCTGCTGGATCCCTGGAGTCTATAATCAAGGCAGTGTGTAAAGAAGAATCTTCATTTTTCAGCAATACAAACCTGTTCATTGACATGCCCAAAATCATGGGACTTTTGGAGGACAATATGGCAAAGTATGGTATTCCTGAAGACTCAAGTAAGAAAAACTGTTAATCACAGGTTGTGTGTATGCATTCAGAGTTTAGAGACATTTTTCCCTCTTAAATGGAAATTTTTATATATCAGCTGACATCTCAGTTGACACTGTAATCCTGAGCACAAGGGTTGAGCAATAAAAATTTTATGGCTATGAGGTGATTGTGGATGAGACACAAGTGATTCTGGTTGTTTTCTATCTTTGCAAATAATAAATAAGAATATTCCTGTCTCAGAGACATATTTATTAGAATTTTTAAAGCACTTGGTGTTAAAAATATACCATTGAGATACAACATTGGGAATTTATTGCTGCATGCCTTTCTTCTGTGAACAGAAAACTGTGATATTATTGTGTATTAAAATACGAAAGCCCTCTGGATAAAATAATTTTTTAATAGCTGATATTCCTACTCGCTTTATTGAGTGCCCAGAAAATCTCTTATCTCTTACATAAATTTCACCTTTGCTCCCTTTCCTCACTATACATGTAACTTACCTTGATTAATCTTGTTAATAACCTTGTTAGTGCCTCAGTGGCCCTATGCTGGAGAGGAATACAGTGATAGAGTGTCACTAGGGAAGGATCTGGGACTGCGACTCATGGCTCTACCATCTGTCAACCAGACCAGAAACTACAACCAGAAACTCGCTCTGGCGTGGCTGGGGCCCTTGGGAGGAGCTGGAGCTCTGCCCCAGCCTTCTTCACTTGAGTGTGGGATGGCAGTAAGCAGGCAGCTCTGCTTTTCTTTCCCATTTGAAGAATGGAGTTAGCAGGATGGCTGATTAAACAGATTGTTTAGGCCTTGATCTCTTTCAAAACTGTTTAGGCCAGCTTTTATCTGTTTCTTGATTATTTTTTTAAAATATTGTTGCAACTCCCGAGTGTTGTAGGACCTTTTAGCTTAGGACATTGAACTATCGTTAAAGCATGTTAGTTACAGCATTCCTATGACTGAATTAATGCTGTTTCCCATATTTTACAAATTGGTAAATGAGGCAATGGAAGATGAAAATTAAAATTATATGAGGCCACAGAAATTTGATTTGAACTCCTTCTCACTGATTAACTTGTATATATTTTGTGTACCAGACACTTGCCAATGACTTTTTGAAAATCACAGCAAACTCAGATTAGCAAGTATTCTGTGTCTTTAGCATATTGATGTTTCTGAATGGCCAGGTTGGAACCTCTTAATTCTTTGCTGTCATTTAGCAATGATTGTGTTTAGTAAAGATTGTTTCCTTGAAGAATGTAAAAATTTGGGCAAAGAACTGGGTGTTCCTAATGATACATTTCTGAAACTTGTTTCTTCAACTTTGCGCAGGAGTTTAAATGTTTTTGGTCTAGTTTTCCATTATGTACATTAATTTGTCTTCGTTGAGGAGTTAACGACATTATTTAATATTTCTTCACAGTGCTGGAAATGGGATATTTCTAAATCCACTCACAATAAATAATAAAACACCCCAAAACATACGAGCTGGACATAAAAGTCTAAATATTTCTCACAGGAAACTCATTGCTTTTACTTGATTTCAAGGGCAGTAGGATATCTTGGAAGCTATTCCTTGGATGCTAGTTCTGAAGGACATACAACCTAATGCATTAATAGCCCCATGTGATGTATGAACATGTCTTTTGGTCGAGGAATGGAAAAGTGAATTGACTAGATTTTTCAAATCAAGAAGTTAAATGTCATGCCATTTTTTTCCCTGTATTTTTGGTAGGTCCTTATGAAATGATACAAATAAAAAAGTCTGTATTTGTGAAGGAATTTGTATATTCCTACTTCTTTCTTAAGTAGGAATAAAAAGCTACAGAACAACTGAAGGTGTGGAGTGAGTCTGTTTTTTTTGAGGTGACTCTTCCCTCAGCATTAATTTTGTGGGCAGAGGTTTTGCATGTGTCCTTCCACCCTAAAATGCACTAATGTAACTTTTAGGATAAACGGGGTTCACAGGCTGCTTTTCACAAATGTGAGAAGCTCTTTGGATTCTGATTCTTTTTTTCCTGTCTAATGTTTAGAGTTTTCCATCCTCAATGCTATCATAGACTGTCGTTAAACAATTTCTATTTGGGGACTTGTAGTGGTTGCTTAGTGGCAGTTGTATGGTATTTGGCACGGTGCTGTGGCAGATCCTAAATTAAGACTCAAGCTTTTCTTTGAATTAAAAAAAAAATATTAATCCAACATCACCTCTGTTGTATGTCTTAAATGCAAGTCTGTCTTTGTTTTTGCAGCTCCATTTTGCTTGAAGCTTTATCAGGAGATTTTGCAGTCTTCTAATGGGGCTTTGCTATGGACTTTCCTGAAACCTTTATTACATGGGAAGATACTGTACAATTCAAACATCAACATGATTGACCTGGTGATGGAGAAGGTGAGTGTCAAAAGAAACACTATTTTTGCTTATTGATTTTTGTCTTTGTACTTAATTTCAAAAGTCTTTTAGAGTAGGGAGGAGCAATTGGATAATTGCCTTTCAGAAAACTGGATCTACTCTGTCCCCTGAGTTCTCACCTTGTTCCCACTTCAAGCTTAATATTTCTCTTAATTTTTATCCTACTGGTTACTGTGGTTTCACCACAGTGTGAAAAGCAGAATTTTGTTCAAAGTCCTGTAAGCCTTCTTATAAAAAGATTAGAAAGAACATATTGGCAGAAGTGTCGTGTGAATCATGCTGTATCAAGGTGTATGATATACATATTCCAAGTGAGCTGTTGCCCTCAACATTTTCTTATGATGGGAATTCTGATGGGGTAGCATAGGGAGCTGTGGAGAAGGGACACCCTATGAACAAAAGCCTGTTCTGAGGGAATCACTGAGCTGTGTTTAAAAAAAAACAACCAACAAACTAACAACCTACAGTGCATCCTTCCCAATTATGTTTCTAACACCAGTAGTATGAATGACCAGTAGTAGCTGAGCTACAATATGTGTGGATGCTGATGACTTGATATTATTCAACAGTTTTACTGTCTCTGCAGTTTTGGTGTGGTAGGTGCTCTGTTTTGAGCATGATTATCTACAATGACATGTTTGTTAATGACTAGCTTTGAGGCACTGCTGTAAGAGGAGGGATGATGACTTATTTTAAGTACACATTAGAGTTCTGTGCAAAATTTGCATTTATCTTTCAAATATATTTTTTTTTTACCCTGGAATATTACTTATTGCAAGATGGTAATTTAGGTTAATCTAAAATCTAGAAAAAAGCATTACTGCTTGTAAGTGGTACACAAGAAGACACTAGTAACTCTAAATGTGTTGGTAACAATTTTCCATGTAAATGGAGTACATCATGGTGTTCTGACTCATGCTCTAAAACGACAGTAAAAATAGCGAAGCCAAAAAGCACACACTAGACAACAGATATTAGGTAACTTTATAGTTTCTGCCGTGAATTGGTAATAAGGTTTCAGTGATTTTATATTTTGCAGTTAAATAACTCAATTTGAGCAGCAGGCCATCTCTCTGGAGTTGAGTATAATTAACTTTAAATTTTTAGTCTTCTAAAAATGAAACTGCTCTTGATGTTTATAGATGGAAATTCTATAAAGAATGAGTTGTAAGACATGATAAAAATTCCAAATAATTTTGAATACATAATTACATTCTGTGTTACAATGACATTTAGAACAATACACTTAAGATATTTCCATGTTATTTTGCCAATTAATATGCCAAAACCACATTCTTTAAAGTATCTGTAAGAAGGATAAATCTCCTGACATACATTGTGGTTGTGTTCCCCTATAGACCTTTTAGTGAAATCAAGACTGAGTATTACAGTTCAGAATGAAGTTTGCTTGCATGTTTGTGTGTTTTTGTTTTTTTAATGCTCTAGAACAATACAAAGATTCTGGTAGATGCCTCTAGCAGAATCTCTCATTCTCATTATGTATTCTCAGGCTCACAAAAGTTCCATCATCTTATTCAGGAATCTGCATAAATACACCCCCAGCTTTCCCCTAAACCTGTAGATATAACAAGCAATTATGGTTGTGTATCTTTTTATATGTAAATATGAAAGTAGTAGGAAAGTTTCTTCTACAATTTTTTTTAATTTGTTTTGTTACAGAAGCCTATCAGCTGTTGCTTGAACAGAAACAAAACTTAAATGCAAAATATTGTCCCAGGTATCTTGAACTCAGCTACTAAAAACTGACCGTTTAGCACTTACACAGCCAAATCTACTGAAATTGGAACAGAAGTTCTAATTTCCTTTAGACTACGTGACCACATGGCAACTATTTACTAGAAGAAAAAAGTATAGGATTAAAGCTAAAAAGAACATTGATGTTTGTATACTAGCATATACACTCTAAGATTTTCACATGGACTATTTTATTTCAGGACTGTGTAATTGACCATTCTTTGATAAACTGTGAGGTCACTGGTTTTACCTTCTGAGAAGTCAACAGTTCTAATGCGTAGAATAACAGTGACTATCACAGATACAGACTGCAGTGCTGACTGAGGTGGGGGGGAAAAGTTCAGTGACAACCGGCTTCCAGGAGTTCAAAGACCACGTGTGATGTCTTTTCATCCTTGCTTTCTCAACTGAACTTTTTGCCACTGATGAGCTGATCTTATGAAAACATGTCTTATTTCAAAAGATTCTCAGGGTTGATCTTATATTCAGGCAATCTCATTAGGACAACTTTGTGCTATTTGTAATTGGAACAGTCAGAATAGGTATATATAAATAAAAAGAAAAATATAAATGTAGCAAGACAAGTGAGAAACAAAAGAAACTAGTCTAGCAAATTCATAAATTTCAGTCTCCTGCCTTTTTGTTTAGTAAAATTAGAATAACTGAAAATGAGTTGAGTAAGTTCTTATTCTAAACTTACCTATTCTGTCTGGCTTTGCATAAGCACACTTGACTTGTCAGCCCATTAAAAGATGTCATTATAAAAGCATTACAATAAGCTCAGAATACCATTTTTATTTATTAACAACTTGCATCAAGAAGAGGCTTAGACATACTCAGCCCAGAGAAGACCATAGTTCATATTGAAAGCTCTAATTTTAATCAAAGGCAGTATCCAGCCTAAGTGTTACAAAGAACATTTAGTTTAATGTTTCTTCATTGATCAGGAAGAAGAGAACTTGAAGAGAATGTCTATTAAACATCGAAGTCCAGCTAGTCATTAACATACAAACTCACAGGAGCTGCTTTACCATGTAAGATGAAGCATTCATCTTGCCCTAGGTTCTGATTCCTACTGTAACCAGTGAAGGCTGTATAGGGTAGAACTGAAGAATATATCAGTAATGTGATATTCCCTCCAAATACTGTCACAGCTTCCAAAAACTTAAGGTCAGGCTTGCCAGGACTCTACTGCTATAATGTGTCCATTTGCTTTTTGAGCTTATATAAACTCTTAGTATTCATAGTGCTTGTGGTGAGATGTTCTGCATCAACAATGTCTTCCTCACTTGCTTGTTCAACTTCAACTAAAGCAACTTCTTTTTTAAAATCCTGTGTTTATATCTCCCAACCATATTTCTGTTCTCTATTTCCACAACTACTCTTTTTTGTTGTTGTTGTTATTATTATAGCAAAATTAAAATTTGCTTAGTACGGATGTCAGAATTATTAGTCTGTAGTTCTCTTGTTCCTCCAGCATCCTTTTTATGAATAGCATTGTATTTATTATTTTCCAGTTCCCTGATAACAAGGGAATTTTAATAATGAGGTTACACTACAGTGACTACTTCAACTATTTAATCTTTGAGCGCTCTTAGAATTCTTGGCTGCGTGTCACCTTGTCCTGGAAACTACTTATTGTTCATTTTGCTAAATTGTATGACCTTTTTCTTTTACTGCTGCTTCCTGCTGTGTAGTGTGTGTGCATGCATGCAGTCTTTCTCAAGTCTTTCTTAAAGCTTTTTTGTGATAGGCAATATGTTTTTTTCAGTTTCCTCTATGCTGCCTTAAATAATCTCTGTACCTCCAGCACACAACTTGCCCCTTTGCTGCTTTTAATTACTTTCAAATAAGCTTCTACATCATATGAAGTTAATCTTTTCCAAAAATCCATGCTGCTGCAGTAATTTTTTTATTGTTTCTATGAGGAGGTTGAATACAAGCACACTGTGGTTACTGTAGCTCTTTGAAAGTGACTTCAGCAAAAAAAAAATGAAAAACATTTGCACTGTTCAGAATCAAGTAAAGCAGCAGCTTCTTTATGTAACAATTTCCAATGATGCCTGAAAATTTGATCTCTTTGTGTTCCAGTGTGAACTATGCTTGCTCTGTACTGGAGAAATAGTGATCTCCCATTTTGGTTGTTTGCCACCCTTGCAGCCTTTCTGGTCTCCCTCAGATTGTCATAATCATGCCTGCACAGTGGGTTACCTGATCCTGATATTTAGTCCATGAGGTTTCTGTGTTGCTTGTGAAGAGAAGAATTGTTAAGAATTTGTTTAGCTGATTTGACACCAAGCTATAGTTTAACATTCAGGATCCTTCTCCCTTTGGAAGTGGAATAGGGACTCTCATAGAAGTTAAATGCATAAATTCTTTCAGGGAAGCAAAATTATCTGCAATTTCTTGGGGTCCTCTGTGCTACAAATGCAAAGAACCACCACAAATTTTTTCCCATATTGTTCTAGGAGCGGGATTTTGCAAAAGGTGCTTAAAATACTATGGCAAAAATTGTATATTTTCAATAGGAATTATTGCAAACAGTGTCGTCCCAAATTGTAGTTTACAACTGATTGCAGATACTATTTGCTGGGAAATGTCATGATCTCTACCATAATAGCAATTTTGGATTGTTCTTAAATGCACTGCTGTGACTGATAACACCAATTTAAACAAAAAGACACTGCAATATTTTCTAATCTTGAGTACATTTATGATCCGTGTAAAATGGGCTGGAAAAAAAATTCGTGGTTGTTTGCTAGTGGCTAAAAGAGAAATTGTAGCTTATGTTTGACTGGGACAGAGAATATTTTGCTGTATTCAAGTCGTCTTCTCCAAGAGTATTTTGAAATAGATGGATTGGTCTGTTGAATTTCTTGTCCAGACCATGCTTCCGAATTTAACTTTTATTATATATTCAGTCAAAGTAGTTTGAATAAAGGACCCACAAGGTCTGTAAAAGCTTTCTTTTGAATATTTCCTAACTATTTTTTTCCGTCTTTCAGAAACAACTCAGTGATGCTCTGTATGAAAAAGATATTATAAAATAAAGAGGTCTTTATGATACTTTAGGTAGGAGGTGTCTGTATGTATGTACATGCTGCAGAAAGACTTTTCTTTGATTTGCTTGGTATTCAGAGATGGCAACAAATACTTTTCATTTCTTAAGCAGAAAAAAGAAAACATGGCTATCATTACTGCTGACTATCAAAGTGAAATGGAAAGGAGTTGCAGAAGATCCGAAGCATGCCAATTTTTCCTGTTTCTTAAGATTTGCTATGCACAGTTTTTACTTAATTTGTCTCAATGTATTCTTCCCAGGCTAATTTCACTTTTGGTTTTGTGGAAAACTTGAAGACTTATTCTGAGACATGGCTTAGGGTGTCTGAGGTTTTTAAAACCAGTGGAAATGTCCTCAAAGTCTCACGACTGCAGGTTGGTGAACTATGGGAAGGCTTCCTATTTTCCAATTATTTGCTATGTGATCTAGATAGACATTCTATACATGTAAAACTGCCCATCTATCTGCCTTCAGGTTTAAAAAGAGCTGAAAAAGAGGCAGATTAGCTTTAGGTTATGAGCCTATAGTGTGATACTGAGAAACTTCTGAAGGGAAAATACTTACAAGCAATGTTACTTCACTATGTCCAGTATTACCAGGCAATAGGGGAAATAAAACAAGTAGGTACACCTACAAGCTTTATACACATACTTAAAACAAATGTAAGATTGTAGGAAATAAAATAGTTTCTAGAACTTGCTTGTTTATCACTTGCTTTTTCCAACAATGTGTGCAACTGATAAAAAAACTGATGTGGGAAATATTGACTAAGAGCAGCATTGTTCTTACTGGATTTTTTTTCCTATTCTTCATATTTGTGTCCTTTTTTCCCCAATAAAATTTAGTTTTGCCATGTTTGACTTGTGCAGACATTCATAGCTGTTACACTTTGGGAAAATGAGCAGAATCCTGTCATGGCCCATACATATCAATTGAACTGTTACTTTTAAGTTCAATTAAGGAATGATGGTAGTAATCATGCATTACGTACAAATCCCAGGATGCTCTTGTAGAGCTAATAATTTTTTTCACCCCCTTAGAACTTGGCAAATGAGGTAAAGTTAAAATAATATAAAAGAAATTCCCAAATGCCATTTTAAAAAAGATATTTTATTATTGCTAGTGCTAATAGTATAATGGCCCTAAAGTCTTGCAGGAAAAGAAAATGGGTTTCTGTCCTAGCAGATTTGCAAGGATTCACAGTTAAACTATTTGCAGTCAAGGACGACAGTGATGTACAGCAATGGGGAGTATATGTTCTGCTGTTTATTTGAAATGTATGGAGTTAACCTGTTAAGAGGGGAAGACTGAAGACATGGAGAGGCTAAGTGAGTTCTCTAGTGTTAATGCAGGAAATCTTGGTAATGGAATTGAACATGAATGTATATGTATATTTTATATTTCTTTAGAGAAGATAAACCCAATGTAACATCTAACACTTTTCATTTTAGGAAGCACTGCAAAGCGATTTCATAAAGCACTTTATAGAAAGTAATTTGGATATTGACATGGAAAAACTCTTTAAAAAAATGCAAGTATATGGTATGTACATAAAAGTATGCGTACTGATTACCCTTACTAGACTTTAACTTGAGCTTAGAACTACATTCAGTTGAAATGGAATGTTTTACATACTTAAATGATACTAAAGTACCGGACTTTAAATCATCTTGTTGAGTTAGTCTCAAATATTTCTAATTGTCTTTTTTCTTCTGAGTGACAGGATAATTTGCATTCCAAAATATTGAAAGACTTGAAAAATCTAGTAGCAAATTAGAAGTGGCAAACTGTCATGGGAGAGTTAGAAACATAGGAGCTACACTTAAGAAGAGGGAAGGGAGAAGTAATCCTGGTAGCCACAGTTCCATTAGGTAGTAGGAAATTTTTGTGGTAAATTTTGAAGTAAATCTTTATACTTTCAATGGAAGTAAATAGAAAATGAAATTAGATACAATGTGTTTAATCAAAAGCTGTTTGTATTTTTTCTTCTTCCTTTTACTGAGTTAGTTGCCTGTGGTCACCTTGAGACTTGGAAAAGCCTGAGATACAGTTATAATCAGGGAGCAGCAAGGTTGGCCTCAGGTCAGCAGAGAGTAACCAGGGTCAGACCCAGCTCTGGGATGGCCAAGCAGGGCCATGGGGGCAATGCTGAGGTCAGGCCAGGATGTCACCCTATGGGTAGGGGTCTGGGCCCAGATCGTCCATGCCCATGTCCACAGCCAGGCTGTGATGTGGTGGGAGATGCAGCCTGGGGCAGGCCCAGCCACAGCTCTGTGCAGCTCTGATGGGAAAGGAGTGGCCCTGGCCCAGGTGCATGCACGGGGCTGCCCAGCAGTGTCCCCCTGGGTAACAGCCATCCTTGGCTGCACCCTTTTTGCATTGGTACTGAGCCCTGGCAGCCAGACCTCCAGGAGCAGAGAGTATGCCCTCCAGGGCCAGATAGATATCCCAAGGGGAACAGTTTATACTGGAGGGGATGGAGATTATTTTGAATAATTTTGGGTATAGAGGTTTTTAAGGAGGAGAAGAGAAAGGATTATGCTGGAAATTTAAGTCACTTAAAGATTTCATAAGAATTTGATAACTGAAAAAAATTCAACATGTCCTGCTGTCAGTAGGGTAGGTGCATGACCATTAAAATGGTTGCTGACATGTGCCAGAAGGAACTTGTCCACACCAAAGCAGAGTCTGATGTCATTTAAGAAAAGTTCATGATTTTGAGGACCAGAAAGAGAGAGAAGTGGGATAAAATGCAATAACAGATAGTATGACATCATGTACAAAGGAGATGGGTGCTTCCTAGAGGAGGATGGTGGTAGAGGGGAGAGATCTGTGTAGTTTGTTATCACTGAGTGTTAGGATAATTATGAGTCAGACACAAACTTGTTCCAGTTTGTTAGAGGAGGGCAGTGATGAGCTCTCTCATGCCCCCATGTAGGGGCTGCGTGGCCCTTGTTGCTGGAAAAAATGGACTTTATAGCAATACAGTTTATTAAGTCTGCTCTACAGTCAAAGAATTAAGTCTAGAGCAAAAATAAATAAACGTACTTGAAGTGCAACTTTTATTGGATTTCCGTAACTGCCTCTAAGCAGGAGATGGACAAAATCCACTGAAGATCCTGAGAGGTTGTAAATGACAAAGTGTGTTCTCAGTCTTAAATACTACTACTGCCCTGAGCTGGTGCTGTCGTGGTTGGTGTGAGCTGAAGTTCTTGGCTTTTCTGGTGCACACAGGATGTGTGAATTAATTGAAACTAGCCCTGATTTGAAGGCTGTGTTTGAAGGTTAGGACTAGCTGTGCAACACTTTCACTAAGAAAAATGGCAAATGGTGTCCAGAATTCAATCCAGAAAGTGAGAGTCTGGACTCAGTATCCTCCTTAGGCAAGGGACTCAAACTTGAATCCGCCATCTCTCAGGAAGATTTTCTTAACCACTGAACTGTTGCCTAGTCTAAGTCAGGCACAGCTCACACCTCATGGTGAAGCTGGGTCACAATACAAATAAAAAAACTTCCACAGAGTCACACAATGGGAAAGATAGGAGAGAGGATAGAGCAAGTCTCTTCACCTGCAAGGCCTGTTGGAAACATAGCTGTCTCAATACATTACTTGAGTAATAGATGGATTTTGTTTGTTTGGATCTAACACTAGGAACTATATGATAGGTTATGGGCAAACAATATTTCATTAAGTAGATATCAAGATCTCGGGGGTTATCAGGCCCATCTTCACTGTTGCAGACATCATCACAGAAATCTGTGCATATGTTTCTCAAGCTACAGCCTTTTAACAGAGCTAAGGACATTTCACTATATGTAATAAACGGTTAATAGTCTTGAATGGTGAATAGAGGAAATAGTTTAAGTAGAATGGCATATGAAACTAGAATTTCTTTAGATTAATGGAATACAGTAGATAAAATTAACGTCATATAAAAAGTGAAAATCAATATGGGCTATATATCACAATAGCATTTATGCCTTTGTGAAGCTGATCTATCCAAAGTGCCTGAGCACTCTTCTGCATTTACCCTTTGATTACACTTCTTGTTACAGATTTGCTTTGTCATTTTGCTTTTTGAAAAATGACTATGCCTTCTTATTTTTATGTTGGTATTGTATATACTTTTTTGTTCATTTTATTAGTCTATAATCATGTGCAGCTGTTACTGTAAGCCTCTGTTCTTAAGTTTTTTTATTTTTTTGTTTTGTTTTAAATTTCATTACTTTTACACTGCATCAGATTTTTAGTCCTGTAATTATCTTGTTGGATCAAATTAAAGTCTTAAATGTATCTATATATGCTATTGGTTTTACCATTCACAATCTGTTTATTTCCATCCAAAGGTCAAGTTTTCTAAAATCACCTAATCTGTGTGATCATGTATTTTGTCTTCTAACTAAAGCAAATATTCTCCGGTTTATTAAATCTACACTCTCATTAAGCTGACTTCTAATTATGCTCAAATCCAAGGTGCTTGTGTTTGGATCTTTTTTTACTTCTCTATGATACTATAAAGATTGTTCACAGTCTTAGTGACATATTATTCACTCTGTTACTCCTGCTGGAAAGTGTTGTGGACACAGAGTGGATTGATGATGAAGTCTTCCAACATTTATAAAATTATCATGCTATAAGACCTCACAAAGTTATCAATTTCTAAAACTGTTTTACAGGGTTACTGTGTCAGTTTTACTCACCTGGAACAAAGTAAACAGTTAACTGAAGGCAGAAAAGTTTGTGGTTTTCTTTTTAAACCCTTCTTTACTTTCTAAACTAGCTTTGTGTGGGCAAGGCAACTGTATTCTTCTATACTTGCTTTCTGACCCAGCAATTTTCACTAATTTCCTGGGTGTAACCAGTTTTTATATAAACTCTGTCCCACTAGAGACTGTGACTCCTTGCTGGGCACAGTCCTTATGAACTGCTCAAGAGGCACTGAGAAGTAGTTGTGCTGCAGGCTCTCCTTTTAGATTCTTGCTCACTGAGTCTCTCTCTTGTCCTCCTTCTGCGATTTCTCCCAGATATGAAGTGTTTTTTCACTACCATGGAATATCCCTTAGGGAGGGCTTCATGTGACCTGGGATGTAACAGACAGGGTAAAAAAAAAACCAGGCAACTTTCCTTCATGCTACCCCTCTGCTTCCCTCATTGTAATGAAATAGTTTTATCTGTATATAGAAAGCTGGAAACAAATAGCTCTAACATCATCACTGAAAACCGTGCCACCACTAAAGTCATTTGATCAGTAGAAACTTTCTCCTAATTTCTGACCCAAATTCATTCACTGGTGGTTTATTCCAATTTATTCTTCTCTCAACCTTTTACTTAAATAGCACTTCTACCTAGTAGATTTACAGAAAACAGTTGTATTTCCTCACAGTTACTTAATGATAGGTTAAACAATCTAAGTGAAAGATGAGGGCTGAGTTGGTATGTAATAAAGTATAAAGATAATAGTGAAAACAGAGTTGCTGAGTTTTTATTCATAATTGCTACATTTATAAATGGGACAAATACAAGATAGGCAATTCCATAGAATTTAATTCTAAAATTTTCCTTTGGATTGTACCTATTCATATACATGTGTTATTTCTACGCTAGAGTACAGAACTTCATCCACATTGTGAAAGACAATATTTTGCTTCCAGGAACATTTACGTATGCTGTACTCCAAACAAGAAGCAAGCTAGTTGGTATTTCTTATGCTAAAATATTCAATAGTTTAATTCATGAGAGAAGTTTTTTAGTTCATTATTGATTTCAAATTAAGGTCTTTCAAAGATCAGCTGGTGAAGAGATCCCTGGTGTTTTTTGATATGTGTGTATATATATAGGACTACATATAATTACACAAACACACATATATATAAAATATATGAAAGCTTAACCCTACTACTTGAACTTAATGTTAGGAATATTCTGTTCTCTCTAATGCCACAAAATAAGTAGCAGCATAGGTATTTCCTTTGTTTTCCTCCTCAAGAATAGCAGTAAGAAAGAGGTAGTATCTATATTTGGTGCTGTTTTTTCTCAACCCATCAATTCACCCTGTCATTGCTTGCCTGTCTTCTGAGATCTAGACTATCATTTCCTCTACTGTTTCTCCTTGTGATCTTTATCCTTTCTCACTGGTAATCACGTCTCTTCTCCAGACTACTCCATGCATTTTTTCCACTTATCTCTCTTCCTATTGTAATATTTCCTGTGCTGATGCTAAATAACATCTATGATGCAGAGTTTGTCTGTCACCACTGTTATCAAACGAGGTCATCACCTATCCTTTTTAAAGCCTATATCTTCAAGTAAGTCTTGAAAAATTTAAGATAGAAACTTGTTTTGGATGTTTTATAACATTATTGTTTACTTGAGAAATTCAGATGTTTCCATTAAATCCAAATGGGTTACTATTTTTTCTACATCATGCTATCCTTCTGGTTATTGTCCCAAACACAAGGACAAAACACTATCTCTACATTCTCTACCAATGGATGAACATCTGGATTCCTCCAAAGACTCAGTGTTTTTGGAAACTAGGGTGTGATTGAGGTATGCATTCATCGTGGGTCTACATATAAGATCAAAGTAAAAATGGGGGGGGTTTGTAGGCTTTTTTCAGATGCTTTTTAAATGTAGGGCTCCAGTCAAAATGCTTGTGCCCTCTACAACACGGTTGTTGAAATACTTGCAGTGTCAAGGAGAGAAGAACTAGCCAATACATTACTAGATGAAAGAGATGGATCTCTTCTGATGTCCGAAGAACAGTAATTCACTGTACTTATGGGAGTACTTATGAAAGACAAGGAAATATTAGAAGTCCTACAGCTTCAAGGATGTGGCCTCCTTCTAGAACATTCCTAGAATTTGTTATTTTTTTTGTTGCTCTGTAATTGAAGGAAAATGTAGCTGAGGACTTGTAAAAGCTACTGAAACATGAACTACACGTTCACAAGTTCACACTTCCCATGTTTTTAAAACTTCTTTCTTTTTTTAAATACAAAGAGTATTTACTCTTATAGGATGTGCAAGCAAAAACATACCTTTCTGTTCTGTTCATTAAAACTAAGGAAGTCCAATTTGTTTCCTCATCTTAGAAACTATGATGAACAAGATGCTTAACAGCTCAGCAAGTAAACAGATTGACCTGTTGTCACAGCTTGTAGTAAATATCTCTTCCTGTGTGTTACTGGACCGTTTCCAGCCTTTTGACTCTATTGAGAAATTGGAGACAGCAGCTCATGAGCTCATGCACCAAAATAATTTTTTGGCTAGTAAGTACCTTATTTAAAATATATATTGAAAGATAACATCAGACTTTGTGGTTGTTGTCTGTGTTTATTGATAAGGTAGGTTAAGCTTACACAATTTCAACGTATGTATTAAAAAACACATAATAAAGGCAAAATAAAGCACATTTACATTAGAAGTATTCCCCAACATTTGAATACTATAATATATGCTGTAAAGAATAATTATATTGTTGTTTTAATTGTGGAACCGCCAAATAAATTGCTGGAGTCTGTTATTTCTAACAAAATATTGAAAAGAATATTCCTAAATGTTTAAAGTAGAATAAAAAGAACTGAAAAACTTATAGTACTGAGGAAAATTGACTACTTGTTATGACAAGATCATCTAGTTTACATCCTTATGAATTGTAATTGTTATGTTCTTGGCTTTGCAAAAAGGAGGAAAGGAAGGGTTTTTTTGGTAAGTTTTGTTCTTAAACCAACACCTCAGAGAAATTAACTTCTTTATTGAGAGTAAATAAATTATTAAGTAGTGGATATATTTCTTTTCTTCCCTGGGATTATGCTCCCTATCCTTTTCCTGCATTATATCCTTGTCACTGAGAATCAATTAATTGTACAAAACAGTTTAAAAGACAAGAATGTTTTTCTTATTACACATACTTTATCTTCTTGCATAAAATGCTTTAAGTTGCATGTAGCCTTTCCAAAAGTACCCCATTGAAGTTTATATAAAATGTGCCACATTATTTTCTCATGTTGTTTTGGTTTTTATTGTCTCCCTGAACTCCTGTAAATACACAGCAGAAAACATGTCAAAGCAAGTCTAGAGAACGAAACTACTCAGTCTTGAATCCTATGTTTGTTCTGTAACCTGCGCAATATCCCTATTTGCAGGATGTAGAAATGACCACCCTCCATCAATATAAAACTGAAGGCCATACTGTGAGATAAGGAAAATTTTCTCAGGAGTATTTGGTAGGTAGTGAAATTGCCCCCTTTAGGGAAAAAAACATGCAAGTAGATCTCGGCCCTTAGAAAATTTAATTGTCAAGTTCTAGATCCATTTTGCTTCCACTTACATAGGGAAGGGTCATATGCTAACAGAAGCCAAGACGGATCTTTTTTTGGTATTGTGGCCTTATAAACTCTTCACACACTTAAAGAGGGAAGATGGCATTTTAAAGGACCTAATGTGTCCAACATATCAATATTAAATGCTCAGATATAGGTATATATTCATTTCCACAGTAAGACATGAAACTGAAGTGAAATTTTCTTTGCTTGCTTTGTCTGTAGTCTTCAAAAACTTCATAGCCTCATGAAATGTCTTGGGGAAATTAAACATTTGCATAAATGGGAAAATGAGATTGGCCAGTTGGAAAAAATAAGTTTTACAGCAGAGTAAAGTATTCTATATTATATACTCTTCCAGAGATCCAGGTGGTAGGCAAGATAACTCTCCCCTTTCCTAAGGAAAAAAGTCAACATTTCGCATTCATCAAGAAGTCGTAAAAAGTCTGGGTCATCCAGAAAGAAAATACAACCTGTTTGCTGTATTTGACTTCATCTTTCCAGCTACAGATGAAGTTTTCATCTGTTTTTTTTATACAGTGCTAGATAAAATAAGCATACAAATTCTGCTGTGCTGAAACAGAAGTTTTGTAATTGACTCAAAAATTAAAAGTCAGAGTAAATTTTAGTTGGTACTGTTTACTTTGTCACTCACTTCTGGGGTGGTTATCTTTTGATGGACAAATTTTATGGCTGCTGCTTTCATTGTGGAATTGAGATTAGTCCCTAAAAAGAGGTTAAATCTGGATACAAAGAGAATAAACCACAATTCAAGAAAACAAATCACAGAAGGAGTTTTCTCAGATAAAAATGATTGTTGCAAACCTATATTTGTCATGTGAATAATTTTTTACATTTGACAGTTATGAATTTAAAAAAATGTAGGTCTGTATGAAACCTACCATTCTTGTGTTGGGAAGTCAAGAAACTTTAGAGGCCTGCCCTGACAGGTGAATATATTCTACTATCATATGATAATTGGCCATAAGTTAGCTATGTAAATAGCATAAATCATATTAACATTGGTATGAAGCTCCTTTTCTTCTTCTGTCAGGCATCATCTTTGATATGCCGAAGAACGAGACACAGGTTTCTAGCAATCTCCTTCCACGACACATTTCATATACAATTAGAACCAGCGTTCTCTACAGCATGAGAACAGATTTGATTAAGAACCCGGTGTGGAAATCCCATCCCCAGAAGTTGCCAGCTGATGGGTTTAAATACAACCATATCTTTATTCCTCTTCAAGACATGATTGAAAGGGCAATTATTTCAGTACAGACTGGGACAGATACTTCAGAGCCAACCATCCAGGTGCAAGCCATGCCTTACCCATGTCATACCAGTGATCTGTAAGTAAACTTTCAGCTTTTTAATTCAATATATTATCCTTATTAGATTAATGCTAGAGGACTGGGGAAGCTACTAGGTCTTTGTAGGCAGTGAATGTACATCTCAGCACAAGATTGAACCATTATGTCCAATACCAGAATATTGCAGCATAGCAAATGTCATTCAATAGCTGTGACCACAACACATTATGCAACTTCTGTCTGTCAAGTGACCCCTCATGAGCTGTTTGCAGCTATGCTGTGGAGTAGTCTGTTGGACAGAGACTGTGTCAACGTATTGTGCACCCAAGATTATGCTAAGAAACCCACTTTCCATCCTTAGTTGTCCTGTACACAAACTCTAAATTGGTCCTTGGTATGTGTTGAAATACAGTGTAAAGTTGATGAAGCATAACAAAAAGGGTAGGATTGTTCCTTGTAAAGCCATCAAAACATCCTTACTATTATAATTTAAAATTAGTCAGTGCTAATAAATTTGTTAAAGTGGAGCAAAAGTTGACTGGATCATGTTATTCCTTACTGTCCAAATGTATTTCCTTGCCATAGACACAAATCTGTATTCTGTTTGACTTGTAATCACTCTTTAAGGTTCCATTCAATCAGTTGTATTGTTGACAAATACTAATACAATATTCTAGTACTAATACATATATTGAGCTTGTTACATGAAAAATAAGCAACTCTAACCAGAACAAGTCTTATTGCCCATGTCAGATCTTATTTTGTGCATACTTCGAGAATAGTCCCAATATTATCTTATTAACATTCTGCTGAAAAATATTTTACCTTTGGGAGCTAATAACTCTACATATATGTTCTTCCACAGGTTCTTGAACAATATAGGTTTTTTTTTTCCACTTATGATGATGTTAACATGGATGGTTTCAGTTGCTGGCATGGTTCGCAAGCTGGTTTATGAAAGAGAAATTCATCTTGAAGAGGTAAGAGGCAGATTAGCCTCTGAGAATAAAATTTATTTATTAAAAAAATAGAAAAGTTAAACTTTTAGGTACTTCTAGGTACTCATAATCCAGATGGCCTTTTTTTTTTTTTCACTTGTTTCCTCTGGGCAATAGGGTCTACTTCTAGCTGCCAACTCAGATTCACAACATTGTTTGAGCATCAGTCTGCTAGTATGCAAATATTGTCCCTGAGACAAAAACCAATAGGTAAAAGATAAATAAAAGTTGGAGCTGGAAACTGTTGCTTGGAAAAGGTCCTTGTGATTAGAATGGTTTTTATTTTGAATTCTTTTTCATGTTTTCCTATAAGTGGTCTAAATTGATAAAACTTCCTAAACCAAATTAAAAATTTGCCATGTACTGTGTAATTATCAGAAATATAAAGGAGGATGACATAGAAGAAAGTGAGGCAATTTTTTGCTTATATCAACAGCTAGTCTTAACAGGTGCTAAGCATATGGAAGGACAGGGGGTTTTAGGATACATTTTCTGTATGGATAAATATACTTTATGTGAAGAATTATACTGGTCTTTATACCACTGGGGTAAGCTTTTTTTTAATTTGGGAAATGATCTAGTTTCTCTAAACTTTGTTTTGTAAGATAGACCTTAATTTTTTTTATGATTTAAAATATTAAATTGACTTAAGGTTATTTTGGTCATCTTATGAAAAATGTTTCAGAAGTAGTATTAGCTTGTTTCTAAAAGCTTTTTTTTTAAAAAAAAAAAAAAAGAGGGATGATACCTTATACTTGGCTAAATTATTATTGGCATGCTAATACATAAAGGTTTACAAGCATATCCATATGTTACTTTAGTTCAGCAACAGGCTAGGAAAAAAACATTTAGACAGTCCTGTAGATATTCTCAGTACTTTTTACAATATAAAAAAGCAAATTCCTCGCTGGAGGACCCAGTAATCTGACATCTAGTCCTGCAACACTATTCAAAAGACAGTTGTGCCTGAGCACTGGGATTCCTCATGTTAGTATGTGATCAGCTCAGAGGCAGCCCTGCTCAGAACTGTGTTTTTTTTTCCACAAGAGAGCAGCAGAAGGGGTAACACAAGAGAAGGGAAAAGAGACGAGTAATTTAAGGGGAAGATGACATCCTTTGCAAGCTGGTAGTGTCTTGGTGGCAACATGTTTTGCTTAAAAAAAAAAAAAAAGAAGAAAATTTGTTTCCGAACTTTAACTCTCTTTGCTATGTTGTCTTGCAGTATATGAAGACAATGGGTGTACATCCAGCCATTCATTTCTTTGCTTGGTTTCTGGAGAATGTCATTGTACTCACAATAAGCAGCTGTGCTCTTGCCATCATTTTAAAAGCAAGTGGTATCTTTGCTTATAGCAACGGCTTCCTCATCTTCCTTTTTCTCCTGGATTTTGGCATTACAGTTGTTATGTTAAGCTACTTTTTGGGAGTGTTTTTCAGCAGTGCCAATACAGGAGCTCTGTTTGCCAGCCTTGTGTATATGATCAGTTTTTTACCCTACATAGTTTTGTTGGTCTTGCAGAACCAGTTGAGTTTCACCAACCAGATTATAATGGTAAATATTTCTTTTCCTTGTCTAATTTTTCTCCTCCAACCATGTTGTGGATTTCCATAGTTTTGAAATGTTAGACTATAATTTACTATTTTTCCCCAGATTTCTGTTTGCTTTTGTGTTTCACTGAAAGTAAGCCACATTAATAGATAGACAATTGAGAAAATGTTTTGAATGTAGAAAGGAATCAAAAATACATATTCAGGGAAATTTTCTAAACCTACATAAAATATAAAGAAGTTGTGTTCCTCATGCTCCTGAGTTCTTTTTATGTTTTGGTCTCAAAATATTTGTAATGTTAGTGTACTTTCAATTACACCTAATGATGCCACTCCTGAAAGTCATGTGTTTGGACAAATACTAGCGATTGATTCTCTGTTGAGTACAGTTGGGGATTAGGTCAGAAGTTTATTTAGTGCTTATCTAGCTATGCTGTCTGAGCTATATGTTTCTTTGGCATTGGCTTTTCCCATGTCCTTTCCTATTTTATCTATGCGATAGGCTCTTTTATGTCTTAACATACTATATCCCTGATTGGGAAATCAAATATCACCATCATACAATGCAAACCATATTTAACACTTTATAGCTTTACTCTTTCAAAATAACTCATGTACCGAATTAATTTGGTGGAATAATTCATACACTGTTAAAATAAATAAACACTTTTTCAGTGTCAATCAGTCAGATAAAATATATTGGTTCTTTGCATACAAGTAAGCACAAATGTAAAAGTGCAAAATTCAGGCACAAATAGGCAGGGTGAAATTTTTTTTCCTGTTGTTGCTTTTTTTTCCCTCTGGTTCAGAGAGAGCGAAAAGTATGCATCAGATAACTCACACATTTTAAAAACAGTTATTTCAAAATAACTCTTCAGATATCCTGCATTTTCTGAAACTCAGAGGCAGCGGGATGTGAAAAAGGCAGTAATTTTTGAAGAGAGGAGAGAAACCATCAAGTGAGATAGTAAAACCTTAGCAGTGTAGTAGGCAGGGACTCAGCTGATGGGAATCAGCGTGGACTTCTCCGTACAAAAATATAATCCACGCTACTAATGATTTTGAATTTTTTTCTAAGTAGCAGCCTATGTCATACTTCTTTCTTCAGACAGCTGGCAGGATGTATTCCTTTTGTGTCAAATATTGCAGAAACCTTATTTAATTGCATTATTACTATAGAACTTTATCACCAAGGAATGTTTATTAATTTTAGTAATGTTTTGGATCTCCCCATCAACCTTCATGAGCTCACCAGTGTTTTTCCATTGATCATCAGTCACAATTCCTTATTATACTACATCAATAACTTGCTCATTTTCCATTTTGTACTTTTGTGTTACAGCATGAATATGTTGCTTCTTGGAAGTCAAATATTATTTCCTTGCACAAAAGTTCTGTCTCAGCATATAGTACCCAGTGTGCATGTTCTTTCTACCTCTGTCTCTTCTTGACTTCTGGTCTTAAAAAAATGAGTATGACACTGCTCTTACTATAGATAGTATATTCCTTTGCATGTTTTTAGTGTTATACGTTATGTGTTTTCAGTATGTGGTAGATTTATGATGATCTATAATTTGTTATAAAGTTAAGTAATGTTTTCCAATATTAATAACTAGGTCACTGGAGCTCTTTAAGGTGGAACAAATACTACTGAAGTATGTGGAGAAATATTGTTAAAACATAAAAGGAAATAATGACCATTAGCCTATGTGAAATAAAGATCTATTTATTTTGTGCTTGCTTTTAGTATCACTACTTCTTTTATTTCATAGAGCTTGTAAACGATGTGTTTTATTTGATATTCACAATCTGTTTCTTCTCTGGTGTTGCAGTGTCTTCTGTCTACAACTGCCTTTGGGCAAGGAGTATTTTTTATTACATTCTTTGAAGGCCAAGAAATAGGTAAACTCTTCTGTTAGAAGAAAAGCTTTGTAATTCTTATTTCAAAAGCTACAGTTGGAAAGGTTTTTCACTTTGTTCTGAAAAAATCTCTAATCATGAGTTAACAGGACAGATCAGAACAGGAAAAAAAACTTTTTAATGCCCCTTGAAAACCAAGTTAAGCTTGTGTCACTTTCTAGCCATAAATTCAAGTGAGCTTAGCATTGCTCTGTTCGCAATACAGGTTGGAGAAAATCTCCACATCCTGTTAGATGACAGAATGATTGTATTCAGCTAATGAATTGTTCTAGAGATGCAAACCCAAACTTTCTATTTAGTGAAATTCAGTAGAGCTACCTAAGGGTGAGCATCTGACTAAATATTATTTCACTCATTTAATGTGTTATTTCTCTCAGTCCAGTGGCGGAAGCTTTGACAAGGCATTTAGAGCAGTTTCTTGGAAGTCCTTGTTGATGTCAGTGGCAGCTCTAATGCTTTCTTTCTGGTGAAGATATTAACAGGGAGTCTTGCAAAATCACAAAATGGTTGAGGTTGGAAGGGACCTCTATAGGTCATTTAGTCCACCTCTGTTGCTCAAGCTGGGCCACCTAGAGCGGTTGCCTGGGACCATGTCCAGACAGCTTTGGGATATCTCCAAGGTTGGAGGCTCCACAGACTCTCTGGGAAACCTGTGACAGTGCTTAGTCAACCTCACAGTGAAAAAGTGTTTTCTGATGTTCAGAGGGGACCTCTTGTGTTTCAGTCCGTGCCTGTTGCCTCTGGTCCTGTCACTGGGTACCACTGAAAACACACTGGCTCTGTCTCCTTTGCACTCTCCCTTCATGTATTCATGTATATTCATTTATAAGATCCCCCACTGAGCCTTCTCTTTTCCAGGCTGAACCATCCCAGCTCTCTCAGCCTTTCCTTATAGGAGAGATGCTTCAGTCCCTTAATCATCTCTGTGGCCCTTTGCTGCACTATCTGCAGTACCTCCATGCCTCTCTTGTACTGGAGAGCCCAGAACTGGACCCAGCACTCCAGGTGTGGCCTCACCGGTGTGGAATAGAGGGAAAGGATCGCCTTCCTTGATATGCTGGCAATGTTTTGCCTAAGGCAGCCCAGGATATCACCAGCTTTCTTTGCGGCAAGGGCACATTGCTGGCTCATGTTCAACTTGGTGTCCACCAGGACCCCCAGGTCCTTTTCAGCAAAGTTGCTAGCCAGCTTGGTGTTCCTCAGCATATATTGGCATATGGGATTGTTCTTTGACAGGTGCAGGAATTTGCACTTCTTGTTAAACTTCGTGAGGTTCCTGTCAGCCTGTTCAGGCCTCTATGGGTCACAGCATGGCCCTCTGGCATATAGATTCATAGCGTAGTTTGGGTTGGAAGGGACCTTTAAAGGTCATCTTGTCCAAACTCCGGCAATGAACAGGGACATCTTCAACTTGATCAGGTTACTCAGAGCCCTGTCCAACCTGACCTGGAATGTTTCCAGGGATGGGGCATCTACCACCTCTCTGGGCAACCTGGGGCAGTGTTTCACCACTCTCGGTGGGAAAAATTTCCTCCTTATAGCTAGTCTAAATCTACTGTCTTTCAGTTCAAAACTTCATTTTAAAACCCCTTGTCCTGTTGCAACAGGCCCTGCTAAAAAGTCTGTCCCTATCTTTCCTATGAGCCCCCTTTAAGTACTGGAAGGCTGCAGTAAGGCCTGCCTGGAGCCTTCTCTTCCCCAGGCTGAACAACCCCAACTCTCTCAGCCTGTCCTCATAGGAGAGGTGTTCCATCCCTCTGATCATCTTCGTGGCCCTCCTCTGGACCTGCTCCAACAGGTCCATGTCTTTCCTGTGCTGAGGGCTCCAGAGCTGGATGCAGGACTCCAGCTGGGTTCTCACCAGAGCAGGGTAGAGGGGTAGAATCACCTCCCTTGACCTCCTGGCCACACTTCTTTGGATGCAGCCTTGGGTATGGTTGGTCTTCTGGGCTGCAAGCACACATTGCCGGCTCATCTCCAGCTTTTCTTTCACCAGGACCCCAACTCCTTCTCAGCAGGGCTGCTCTCA